GGGAGGGGGAGAGGAGGGGGAATAGCAATGGTAGAAATCACCACCCTCAAAACAGCTCTGAACATGGTGATAATATCCCCATTTAACAGACGGAGAAACTGAGACTCAGGGAAGGGAAGGGACTTGCCTCAGGTCATACAGCAAGTAGTAGGGGAGGTGGGATTTGAATCCAGGTCTTTCTGCTCTTGTCTGAGCAAGGCAGCAGGATTACAGGGGGGTATGAGGTTGAGCACAAAAATGGGGGATTTTAAAACAGATGCCAGACAAGGAGAGAAAGAGGGTGGCCTGCCAGACAAGACAGGGAGAAAGATGAGGGAAGGGGTCTCCCAGGGGAAGTTTGAGATGCTGCAACGATAGTTTGGGGGCCTAGGAGTGCACTGGTTAAAATAATGTGAACGTGAGAGGACTTATCTTCATTTCACCCTACGGCTCACCATCAGTAGGTCTGGTAGGGAATTTTGTTTGTTTACTTGTTTAGGGTTTTTATATTTCTTCCCATTAGTGAAGCACTGAACATATTAAAACACCAGAAGCAGCAATGAAGTGCTAATTAGTTTATAATGATCTTTTGTCCCTGAAACAGATTAAATTGAAATTCTCAGAAGCCTGGACTCTGGCCATGCACAGGAAAGCTACTGGAAAGTGGGTGCTTTTTTTTTTTTTTTTTAAATCTCTACTAGTGCAGATCCCAAGATGATTGAGAAGAGGACAAAAACGAAAAAAGGAAGACTCTGTTCTCTCACCAGGGTGTTGCTTGCCCCATCAGTCCAGGTAACAGGTTAGTGTCCAAGAATTAAGCAGCTCATTCTGGGGATGTGATCAGGAGGTTCTTTTCAAGGGGAGAGCTCACCTCCAGCTTCTAAATCCCCAAGATCTGCCCTCTTAGGTGAAGGCAGAGGTGAAGGTCAGAGCTGCAAATGCAAACTGAAACCCCCATGGTTCCAAAGCGGATTAACCTGGCTGTTCTTGCTCCTATTCAGGTTAAGGGGCGAAGCTTCGATGTCTGCACAGAAGAAAGATGTGCACGTGGCAGACAGTAAGGGGTATGCTTTTACTGGGAGCCATGAATCAGGTTTGTTCTTTTAGGGAGCTTGGTGCCTCCGAGCTGCTTTTACCCAGCTCCTCAATGGGACCCTGGCTGAGAGGCAGGGGCTTGGAGAAGGTGGCCAGGCAAGGAACTGGCTCTGCCCTGGGGCTGCTCACTGAATTTGGGGAGATGAGAGGATCACCACAGTGGTTACCCCCTTTTTTAGTAACAAAGATCCTGAGCTCATAAGCAAATGCCTTTATAAGGAAGAAGAGACAAAAGGAAATGATTAATTTGCTGAGTCCTTATCTCTGTGCTGTGTGCTTTACATATATCAGCCTACCTGATCCTTACAAGGATCCTGTAAAAGTCCCTATTTTTACCCCCATGTACTCCATTTCACAGACAAGGAATCCAAAGATCAGAGCTGCTAAGAAACCTGCCCTCAGGCCCACAGCTAGCAGAGAGTAGGCTTCAGATTTGAACCCTTGTCTCTTTGACTTCAAAGTCCGTGTCTCTCTGATGCTCAAACATGCAATTCTCCAGCCTCGCCCTAGGCAGAGATTCTCAGCTCAGGGCAGGGGGGTGAGAAGAGTAGACTGAAAATACACATTTCAAATGATACTCTTACTATTTCTGTAACACACTCTTTGGAGATTCAGGCTAGATCTCTCTAACTGGTGTGAATTTGCAGGCGGCGACAGGGTGAGAAGTAACTCATGGGGCCCGGGTGAACAAGGTGGAATCACATGGCCTCACCTGCAAATACCATGGGTCCCTGGGACAGAACAGTAACCTTTTGTCTGCACATTAATACGAGCGGGTGTCGCAGGGAGCACCCCAAAGGCAATGCCTGAGTCTTGGCTGTCTTTGTACCCGCAGGCCTAGCACAGTGCCTGGCATGTTGTAGGGGTTTAATACCTGTCTGCTGTTCCTGAGTGAAAAGAAGGGGTCTCCACTTGACACCCTTCTTATGCGGCCAAGCTTCTCGCCGCATCACGTACCTTAAATTGATTTCCCACTGCACCACCGACCGGTCCTGCCCTCCCGCTGTGAAGGCGTAGCGGCCATCATAGGAAACGTCCATTCCAGCCACCCCGCTGGGGTGGCATATAAGAGCAGATGTCTTATGTGGGTTGCCGTCAACTGGTAAGATCTGAAGTCCAACCTAGAAAGGAAGATGTAACTAGATATTCAGATTCAGATAACCGGGCCCCAGGCCGGGCCTGGCAGGGTCACCTGTAACCTCCAGATCTGTTTAAGGGAAGGACCTGTGTATCTAGAACCAGCCATCTCAGTGTGTGAGAGCTGCATTTCCCATGGCTGGGGCTTCGCACACACTGTGCCCTGCACGGTGGTCCCTTGGGAGAAGAGACGCAGGTTCCACCAGGGACACAGAAAGGAAGCTTCCCTCCTATATTCATGGTCACACGTCCAGGCTTTTCCAGGACAATTCTGGCGCCTTCCCATATAGAATAGTCATCAAGTATACAACTAAGTGTAACCAACTTGTATGTCTTTATAAGATTTTTCCTTGTAAAGAAATCAGAAAAGAAAAACCCCTTGGTGGACCATGTGTCTTGTACTTTTGGGAGCAGAGAAAATGAGGTGACTCTTCTGAGAGTCATTCCCGCTCATTCATGGCCATTTTCACTGTGAAGCAGGATGGGAGTCGCGGGCTTGGCTGTGAAAGCCGGCGTTCTTGAGTCTTGAAATACCTGAGACTGCCTCCGGCTCCAAGTACACGGTCACCTTACGGGGCAGAGAGCAAAGGGCTGGTACCTTGTCCCTGTTAATAAACACCATGTAGCGCTTCTGAAGTTCCAGAGGGGTTTTCACTGGGAGGATTTGTATCTGCTCAATGGGAGATCCGTAAACTGGCCCGAGGAGTGTCTTTCTGCAAGAGAAAAAAGGAACGCTTTCTAAATTCCACAAATCCCAACGCAGGTTTTATAACTCACTCCCTTTCACGTTGCCCTATACTTTTTAAATTCTGAATTTCCTGTCTTGCTGCTCAGCTAAGCTCATTGTAAGAACCTCTCCCTCAACTGCTAACAGCGGCCGTAAATAAGGGGCAACAGCTCCAAACGGCAAACGCTCTGGGGAAACTCTGCTTGTGAAGGATGCTCTTCACAGCCGCGGCTCTGACTTTCCTCCTTGACAGCTGAGTGAAGGGAACATTATGCCTCGAGAACGTGCATGCGAACAAGGGATGGGAAAAATGCTGCAAGGACGGGAGGAACGTCAGCAGGGTGCGAGGAAACACCCCCATCCCCACGGCGGGGCCAAGACCTCAGCCTGGTGTCCAGACAGCTGACAGCAGGTCTACAGGCAACGCGCGGATCCCCAAAACTCCATCTGCGCATCAAACTGTAATGAATTGCACCCTCACAGCAGTCCGACTTCTGAATTCAGACACTCTTACGCTAATTAGGAATCTGATCTGAGGGGAGGCTCCGGGACAGGACCTCAAGCCCAGAGGTGGATTTTCCCTGAAGCTGGCCAGACTTGAGCATCAGGACCCCTTCCTTGCACACATACCTCCTGAGGCCTGGGAGGGGCACTAGCCACTTTTTATTCTTTATTTTTTTTAATATATATTTTTTACAGTATATCCTTGTAGCTTATTTTAATTAATTAATTAATTTATTTATTTATTTTGGCTGTGTTCGGTCTTTGCTGCCACACGCGGTCTTTCTCTAGTTGCCGCGAGCGGGGGCTACTCTTCGCTGCGGTGCGTGGGCTTCTCACTGCGGTGGCTTCTCTTATTGCAGGGCACAGGCTCTAGGCGTGCGGGCTTCAGTAGCTGTGGCCTGCGGGCTCAGTAGTTGTGGCTCGCGGCTCTAGAGTGCAGGCTTAGTAGTTGTGGCACACGGGCTTAATTGCTCCATGGCATGTGGGATCTTCCCGGACCAGGGATCAAACCCTTGTCCCCTGTATTGGCAGGTGGATTCTTAACCACTGCGCCACCAGGGAAGTCCCCACTTTTTATTCTTAATTATATATATATATATTTTTAAAAGAGGACCCACAAAGCCAAATACACTTCACACCCCACAAAACTTGGGTCTGCCCCAGGGTAAGGACGGTAGCTATTTCATCTTATTATATTTTAAGGCCCTCATCGTTTGGATGTGTTTTCTCCCCGTGTCCCCTGCACCCAGCCCGTGTCTGGTGGGAACAGGAGATGCTCCTTGTATGTCTCTCTTGAGCACCTCTCTGTGCCAGGCACCGTGACGGGAGGTCGGGACTCGGAAATGAGTGAGATTTGGTTGCTAACCTCACAGCCTTGCAGGAACAACAGACATGGAAGCACCATGAGGGGAGAAGTGGGATGACAGGCAAATTCCCAGCACGGAGCCTGCACTGAGGAAGAAGTGATGGGACATCTATGAGGAGACATCTGAGCTGAGTTTGGGAAGGTGAATTGGAAAGGGAGAGAAAATACGGAGGTAACGGAAAAACAGGCAGTGGGCACAGGAGGTCAAAGTTATGCGACGTGGACTATTGCTTGAAAACTGCAGAAACAGTAAAGGAGAAAGAAGGCTGGTGGTGGAGGGAGGTAAAACCGAAGAGGTGAGCAGAGGTGAACTCTGAAGGCGGACTTGACCGTGACCACTGGGCTGCAGGACGCAGGAGAGTATCAGGCTGGACGACCCAGCATCAGGTTTACGTGCACAGAGGATTAGGTGAAATGTTAAAAACACTAAAACGACCAGCTGGTAGACAATGCATCGGCAAATTATAGGTCACCCTTCTCTAGTCGTTTGAGTAGAAATGTTTAAGGACTTTCCTCCAATATCATTGAGTGGGTAGAGGCAGGGAAGAGGATGGTTAAGAGCACAGGCTCTGGTTTGAATCCCAGCTCTGACCCTTAAAAATTAGGGGCAAAAAAAAAAAAAAAAAAAAAAAATTAGGGGCAAGTTGTGGAGAAACTGGAACCTTCATATATTGCTGGCAGGAATGTAAAGTGGTGCAGCTACTTTGGAAAACAGTCTGGCGGTTCCTCAAATGGTTAAATATAGTTACCATATGATCCAGCAATTCTACCTCTAGGTCTACATCCAAGAGGAATGAAACAGATGTCTACACAGAAACTGATACACAAATGTTCATAATAGCCAAAAAGTAGAGACAACCCAACTGACAACTGATGGATGAATAGACAAAATGTGGTCTGTGGATACAATGGAGTACTATTCAGCCATTAAAAGGAATGAAGAACTGACACAGGCTACACCGTGGATGAACCTTGAAAACATGATGCTAAGACGCAAGACACCAAAAGTCACATATTATATGATTCCATTTACATGAAATGTCCAGAACAGACAAATCCATACAGACAGAAAGTAGACTGGTGTTGCCAGGGGTGGAGCAGTGGGGGATCAGTGGGGAAAGGACGTGAATGGGGAGTGACTGCTAATGGGTTTGGGGTATCTTTTGGGGGGTAATGAAAATGTTCTTGAATTAAATAGTGATGATGGTTACACAACTTTGTGAATATAGTAAAAAGCCACTGAAAATGGTAAATGTTATGGTATATGAATTATACCTTAATTTAAATTATAAATAAGCAAAAGAAAAAAAAGTCAAGCTAGTCAACCCCTCTGGGCCTCAGGTCCCTCACTGGTAAAATAGGGATAATGACAGTATTTACCCCATAAGACTGTAGTGAGCACAAAACAAGTTAATATATATAAAGCACTCAGAACGGTTCCTGGCACATAGTAGGAGCTATATAACTGCTACCTAGTACTGTCAAAATTTCTAACAATTTCATAAAATTAATATCTTTTTCTTCTGATTGAAAACATTTTACATATTCATTGTGAAAATTTTCAAGTATTGAGACATGAAGTAGAAAATCTACCCATAACTCTATATGGCTGCACCCTTTATCCCAAGATAACCATGGGTAATAGTTTGGTGTATACGACTCGAGAATTTCTTTTATATATATTCTAGCCCATATAATTATAATTTTAGATGAAAATATATAAGTCACATAAATATAATTTTAGATGAAAATATATTCATGCATATTTGGCAATTTGCTGTATCTCATATTGTGCCTTGGAGATATTTCCGTGTTACTATGCAGAGAGCTATCATCTCTTTTTTCTTTTTTTCCTTTTCTAAAAGCAGCATCATGTTTCAGTGTACTGACGAGCCATCATTTAACTAATTCCCTATTAATGGACATTTGGATTGTTTCCATTTTTAAAAATATTTTCAAACAAGACATCCTTTTACTTATGTCTTGGCATCCTGTGTGAGTACTTCTGTGGGCTACATTCCTAGAAGTCAGAAGACAGGCTATAATTTAATAGAGGGTAACAAACTGCTGTCCCCACACCTCCCAACCCCGTCCGCCAACAGCCGGTTGGCTCCCTTACACCCTTGCCAATGCTGGGCGCTATCCATCATTTTTATCTTTGCTAATCTGATTTGTGAAAAATGATGTCTTGTTTTCATTTGCATCTTTGATGTACTGGTGAGCATCTGCTCATAGGCTTTATTGGCCTTTGTCTGTGAACTGCCTCTTCACGTTCTTCCAAATGCTTTTAAATGCATTTTTTAATCATTTTGGATGTATCATCAAAAGGCAATTCCTTCCCAATTAAGTTGTGGTTACAGGGCTTTATTGTTCCTACAACTTAAAAGATGCTTTATGCAAAGGTGTTTTTACTTTGGAACTATGAGAATGTTTAACTAGATAGAGGTGGTAGTAGCACAACGCTGTGAATGGACTAAATGCCAGTGATTTGTTCACTTTAAAATGGTTGGTTTTATGTTATGTGAATTTCACTTCAATAAACTATTTTTTTAAGAAAGATGCTTTATACTAATTTCCAAATGATCTTCAACGGCAGAAACTCCTAACTTCATGGCTCTAAATGAAAGCACTAATTCGAAAAGATATACACATCCCTATGTTCATTGCAGCTTTACTTACAATAGCTAATATATGGAAGAAACCTACATGTCCATCAAAAGATGAATGGATAAAGAAGATACACAATGGAATAAAAATCTTGTCATTTGTGACAGCATGGATGGACCTAGAGGGTATTATGCTAAGTGAAATAAGTCAGACAGAGAAAGACAAATACTGTATGATTTCACTTATATGTGGAAACTAAAAAACAAAACGAATGAACAAATGTAACAAAATAGAAACAGAATTACAGATACAGAGAACAAACCGGTGGCTGCCTGAGGGGAGGAGGCATGGGGGGAGGAAAGAAATAGGTGAGGGAGATTAAGTGGTACAAACTTTCAGTTACAAAATAAATGAGTCACAGGTATGAAATGTACAGCGTGGGGAATATAGTCAATAACTATGTAATATCTTTGTACAGTGACATATTGTAGTGATCATGTTGAAATGAATGGAAGCATGCATAAATGTACAGAATCACTATGTTGTGTAACGAGAACTAATATAGTGTCATAGGTCAATTATACTTCAGAAACAAAGAAACTCATAGAAAAAGAGATCAGATTTGTGGTTACCAGAAGGGAGGGGTTGGGGGAAGGGGGAACCAGATGAAGGCAGGCAAAAGGCACAGACTTCCAGTTACAGGATAAATAAGTCCTAGGGATGTGATGTACCACATGGTAAATAGAGGGAACCCTGCTGTGTGTCACATATGAGAACTGTTAAGAGAGTAAATCCTAAGAGTTCTCATCTCACAGAAAAAAATGTTTTTCTAGGGACCTCCCCGGTGGTCCAGTGGTTGAGAACCCATCTTGCAAGGCAAGGGACGCGGGTTCGAGCCCTGGTCGGGGGACTAACATCTCACATGCCGCACGGGGCAACTAAAACCACGCACCAGAACTAGAGAGGAGCCCGCGTGCCGCAACTAAGACCCGACGTAGCCAAAAATTAAGATAAATAAATAATAAATTTTTTAAAAAAGAACTGTTATAAAAAGTTATACAAAAAAAAGTTTTTCTATTTCTTTAATTTTGTACCCATAGGAGCTGATGGATGTTCACTAAACGTACTGTGATATCACTTCACGATGTATGTAAGTCAAATCATTATGCTGTATACCTTCAACTTATATAGTGCTGTATGTCAATTATATCTCAATAAAACTGGAAGAAAAAAATAATAGCAACAAAAAATGCAATGGATGGAAACATTTAAACAAAACAAAAAAAAAGGGGCTTCCCTGGTGGCGCAGTGGTTGAGAGTCCGCCTGCCGATGCAGGGGACACGGGTTCATGCCCTGGTCTGGGAAGATCCCACATGCCGCGGAGCGGCTGGGCCCGTGAGCCATGGCTGCTGAGCCTGCGCGTCCGGAGCCTGTGCTCCGCAACGGGAGAGGCCACATCAGTGAGAGGCCCACGTACCGCAAAAAAAAAAAAAAGGAAAGAAATTTGCTTTATGCTAATTTCCCCTTGATCTTCAGTGGCAGAAGCTCCTCACCGCTTGGCTCTGTGGCTGTTACTGTTAGCAGCAACTCCAAGCCTGGGCCGCTCCATCCCACATCCCCCAGCCACCTGCTCAGCCAATGCAGAGGTTCTCAGAACTGGGCACATCTGTGGGATATTCTTTGTCCAAAAAGTTTGTGTCCGTTAAAGATGATGTACAAAGACTCTGAAATCTTCCTAAAACTCCTTTTTACATATTTCTTTCAAATGTCTCCTTCCCAGTGTTTTAATAGTTAAAAAAAAAAAATTGTGCTGGATTTCTCTCCTGTCCCTGCCACATGAAATGGCATTTTTCAGTCATTTTTCCTTGGGCCCTTCTAAAAAGGGTTATTGGGGAAAAAAAAAAAAAAAAAAAAGATCCTGGGTGATCCTGGCCTTTTGAGGACCTATCTTATCTGAGATACATTTCCAAGAAAAGGTCCTCCTCAAGCATGGGGTCAGCTGCTGTTGGTGTTTTTCGACTTCCGCCTCCTCGGTGGGGTCACTAAAGCATTCTCACCTCCAGTTTCTCCTGACTCTGCTCTTCCCAGCCATACCCACGAGGCAGCCAAACCACAGGCAGAAAGAGGCTGCCTGCCAGGGCTGACTAGCTAGGATTCCAAAGCCAGGGCTGCAGCAGGGCCCAGTGATGCCCAGGAGACGACAAAGTCACAGCTTGGTTCAAGGGTCAAGTCCTGCCCTGACCAGCAGCTTGACCTGGGGCAAGTTTTATCACCTCTCTGATCCCCAGTGACACAATCCTTTGCAGGGTTATTGCAGATGAAACGGGATGACAAATGCAGGGCCCCGACACAGGGATCGTGCACCATAATCAGTGCTGATCACGAGAGGCAAAGCCTGGACCCACAGGCCTAGCAGCACAAGAGGCCAGCCATAGATGCAGACCTACTTCGGGATGGAGGAACCACTGCTCTAGGATGCTAAGCTTTGGATGCCCTGGGCTTGGTCCTCTGACCGCTTCTCCATCTACCGTTCCCCTCTGGAATCTTCTCTCATCTCATGGCTTTAAACCACCAGGTGTGTTGACCTCAAACATGGGTCTCCAGCCCAGCTTCTAACATGAACTCCACTTCCCCAATAAAATGCAAATTTCATGGTGACAGAAACATTCTTTTGTTTTCATCTCCATCTTCAGCACCTAGAACAGCACCTGGCTCAGGTAGGGGCCCAGTAAATAGTTGCTGAGAGAACAAAGAATGCTATTAGTTGAACTTAAAACTCCTTTAAGAACGAAGAATAAGAAAAATTAAACAACTGGAGGTATTCAGGTGAAACTATCTGGCGTTTTTTCTTTAACGTCTTTACTGGAGTGTAACTGCTTTACAACGGTGTGTTAGTTTCTGCTGTGTAACAAAGTGAATCAGCTATACGTATACATATGTTCCCATATGTCTTCCCTCTTGCGTCTCCCTCCCTCTCTTTTTTTTTTTTAACATCTTTATTGGGGTATAACTGCTTTACAGTGGTGTGTTAGTTTCTGCTGTATAACAAAGTGAATCAGCTATACGTATACATATGTCCCCATATCTCCTTCCTCTTGCGTCTCCCTCCCACCCTCCCTACCCCACCCCTCTAGGTGGTCACAAAACACGGAGCTGATCTCCCTGTGCTATGCGGCTGCTTCCCACTAGCTATCTATTTTACATTTGGTAGTGTATATATGTCCATGACACTCTCTCACTTTGTCCCAGCTCACCCTTCCCCCTCCCCGTGTCCTCAAGTCCATTCTGAAACTATCTGTTTTTATCCACGAGGGAAGAACAGAAGATTTTATCACACATCAGCAACTTCTCTGGAGCCTTGGAGTCCAGTTCCTTCCCTGAGCCTCAGGCACTGAGCTCTGGGTACCTTATCCCTGTGCAGTGCTGGGCTCAGAAACAAGGGCTCTGGGTTTGAATCCTGACTCTGGCACTTCCTAACCATGTGACCTTTGGTGAGAACTTCCCCCCTTATCTGTGCCTCAGTTTCCTCCTCTGCAAAGGGAGGAGGGTTGTGATGGTAGCCAAGCTGCTTGCAGGTCCTTAAGGTGGGACTTGAAATAAGCCAGGCGCTGAGAAACTGATTTACGTGCCATTAGCGGGAAGCTCCCGTGCTTACCTGCACATTTTTGTGGTTGAATTGAAAAGCTTCACTTTGTAGCCACTGTTGCAAATGAGGAGGAAGAGCTCCTTGGTAAGTGGCGGGTACCAGACCATACAGGTGGGGTAGCTGCCCTGGTCGGTTCGCTGAATGTCCAGGACTTCCAGGTGGTCTTTGTAGCTCTTGAGTAGATTATACTCGATCTACAGAGAAGCCCAGATGAATACGCATGAGGACTGAGGTGAACGAAGTCAGTCAACAGTCCTTTTCTGCGGAGAGACAGCATCAGGACTTCTAGGAGAAGACTTGCCCAAACTTCTAATAAGCTACCAATACGGAGTATCCATTATGAGCAAGATGATGCCATTTAATACTCACGACTCCCCAGCAAAGCAGTACTGTTGTGCCCATTTTGCAGATGAGAAAACAGATGTTCAGAGAGGTTCAGTGGTTTCCCCAAGGTCACACAGCTAAGAAGTGGGAGGATGAGAATTCAAATCTAGGTCCAACTAACTCCAAAACCTGAACTCTTACAGTTATGTTGTACTGCTTCACTTATCATTATCTTGGGAACTTTTTTTTTTTTTAATTTTTTTTTATTTTTTTTTTATTATTATTTTTTTTTCTTGGGAACTTTTTGAGGGTTGGAACTAATTCATATCTAAATCTCAGCACTTGACAGTCATAAATTAGCCACCTGCTGAATTTCACACATATGTAGGCTTTGGTGGCCAGACCAGCATGGATGGACAGAAGGAAGGATGGATAGAATAAAGGAAGTAACGGGGGGAGGGAAGGAAGGAAGTTAAGATGGATGCACAGATAGATCGATTGATTTTGAATCTTTTGGCTCGATCATGTAATACTGCATTTGCCGCTGTCTCTACCTTTCCCTCTGATATTCTCTGAGTTGTCACATTGAGGTAAAAGCCTGGCCCTGTCCCCTAGACACACAGAAAGTGTAAGTGTTGGCTTCGAAACATACACTGAGAGGCGAGGGTGGCTGAGCTGTCGGTGCTGTGGGGAGTACCCCCACCCCGCCGTCAACGTGCCACTTCCCAGGAGCCTCCTTACTCAGGACACAGGTCCCTGTGTGGTGTCAGAGCCGTGTGAAGGCCAAGTGCCAACTCAGAAAGGTTTTCGCTACTTTGTCATACATTCATTTTCTCAAACAAACACAAGTACTGTGGGTCTGGTTCTGTGCCAGAAGCCAGGGAGGTAACGAGAACGAGACATGTTCCTGGTGACCAGGCAAAGGAAAATGAAACAGCTCACCAAGAGTCTGTCTCTCCCGAGGCTCAGCAGTCTCGGCTCATTGCTGTCCAGATGAACCCCGAACAGGACACTTCGAATGCTCTTGCGATGAGAACGAAGTCTTGCCAAATACTCCCAGACCCTTCGTCCATTTTTGACTCTCACCACGTAAACAGCCACGGTGAAACTTACATCCTGAGTATGAGCAAAAGAGCAGAAGTTGCTCCTTTTTAGATTTTGTTAACTTAAGAATCATCACTATGTTTTTCATACTAACTTTGCTTTTAGAAATTTTATGCAAAAGGAAAACCTTTGTCTATTGGAGCAAGTAGTAAAATAATGCCCATTTTGCAGATGAGAAAATCAAGGTTCAAAGTAGGTAGGTGGGGGCAGGGAGAGATGGTATTTGTCTGACACTATGGTCTTACTCTCCTTGCTGGTCCCCACCTCATTCTCTGTTGGAAACTGAAACCCTGACTCTTTCTGCCTCTGTCCTCCCTTCTCTTTATCCGGCTACACAAAATTTTAAAAGGTACGATTAAAAAATATATACATGATGGCTGAGAGTGACAGGGGTCGGGGAGAGGGTGGGAGCAGCCTGAAGGGACCTGGGGCGCCTGAGTCAGTGTGCTGCTGGGAAGCGTGTAAGGGACAGAGGTTCAAGTGAAGCCGGCTGCTTCCCCGCACCCCACCCCATCCCCCAAGAGAACTGGCATGAAGGGAGATGTTGGGGGGTCCCAGAAAAATCTTTACTGAGATTAAGAGCCCTATTCACAGAGGGAAGGACCAGAATCCGAAATGCTCGGTGGAAGACTCCGCTTAAATGAGAATGTCATCTCGTCAAAAATCAAAGGGAAAGATAAAATCCTGGATGCAGAGAAAGGGTTCCGAAAAACTAACAAACCAAAACGAGCTGTCAGAGTAGCAGAATCCAAGTCTGGAAGTTCTGAGGCCCTGGTATTGTTTTCAGGCAGAAGTCCCCCCACTTCCCCCACCCCTTTCTCCTTTTATAACAGCTTTATTGAGATATAATTCACCTCCCACACAATTCACCCACTGGAAGTGTACAGTTCAATGGGCTTTAGCATATTCACAGAGCTGTGCATCCATCATCACAGTTTTAGAACACTTTCATCACCCCCAAAAGAAACCTGTAACCTCTAGCAGCTACTCCCCATCCCCCCTAACTCCCAGCCCCTCCCCCTTGTGGCTTTAAATAAGGTTGCTGAGCCCCTGGACGGCACTCAGTGAAAATACTCACAGCGGTCGCCATATACTGGGAGTCATGGGAGAAGCTGACGTGAGTCACACTGGTTCTGGAATATTTGAAAGGCTCTGGGATTTCACTTTCTAAGGACATTGCATCAAGAATGTAAACGGTCCCTTCTGTGAAGCCAGCTCCAAGGAGAGCTCCTGAAATCACAAGCCAGAGAACAATGATCGAAAAGGACTTCATTCACTCAAGAAACATCGACTCCACGCCAGGCCTTGTTCTACGTGCCAAGGAGACAGCAACGAACACGACAGACAAGGTCCTGAGAAGGAGAAGTAAACTGGAAAGCATGGCATCGTGGGATGAGACCAGGCGGTACGGAGCTCTGCAGTGTCCAGGGGGAGAAGGCGTCCCATCTGGCCTGGTGCGGGGAGAGGGTCAAGGTAACTTTCCTGGAGCTGTGACAGCCAAGGGATTAGCCATTTGGGTCTGTTTTCAGTTTAAAACCTAAGACAGGCTGACAAAATGAAAATACCTTCGGGGTTGTAGGTCAGACTCTGGACTCCAAGCCCCTTCTCAAAGATCCTGCTGAAGAGGTATTTTTTCTGTTCATAATCCCACACTTTGATCACCCCACAGAAACTCCCGATGGCAATGAGGGGTTGGTACGGGTGGCAGGAGATGGCACAAATGGCATCCTTGGGCTCTACAAATAACTTCTCAAGTTTGGTCCCATCTGCTGTTAAGTGGTACACTGACGCATCCGACGTTCCAATGATAAAATTCCTGTTTGCCAAGGAGAGACCCAACAGCATCAGTGTTTGCAGGGAATGGGGCACGCCAGCTATTCTGCTGCTAATTACACATGAAACGCCTCTGTCGTCTGTAATTTAGTGACATTATTAACCCAACATCTCCAAAAATATACCACCAATACCCAACAGCCTCCATTTGCAAGTGAAAAAGCCCACATTTCTACATGTAAATTGAGTCATTAAGTATGCAGATGGACAGTCAGTTGTACAATTAGCTAATCTGCACATGCAAATATTCATTTGTGTATGCAAATATGGAGTTCGGTGCACACATACAGATGTGCCTGCAAATACCACAAGGGTAATTAAGCAGACTCACAGATAATTCTGTCTTGAAATGTTATGGCTATTAACTATCAAATCCCTTTAACTGTAGTGCTAGGACAAACTCAGCTTCGAGAAAGGAGACCAACCTACAGCAAAGGACTCCAGAGGCAGCAGAGATTAGAGCCCTTTCCAGCTTCCCACCACTAGACATTCTTAACAGGAGAATGATGTTTCACTTAAAAAATCGATTAAATAGTGATTGTGATCAGCCAAGGAGATCCATCTGCAAGGCAGGTAAAGGACTGACTAGGGAGGCCAGTACCCTCGAGTTCACATCCCAGGAATAGGAAGAAGATCCCACTGTACAGAAACTAAAAGAAGACATCACTTTTTGACCATGCAAATGATGAGATTCATTAACAACTCACCTTACAATAAAACGGTCACCTTTTAAAGTGCAGTCTGGAGGATAGTTTGTATTTTCAGTCGGAGGAGTTGCCAGCGTCTTTGAGAAGGACAGGCTTCTTATGGAGCTCAGTTTGAAGTGGCTGTACCAGTTCACAATGGACAGGGTGTGATCGTAGAACTTGATGTTACCCCGAATGTCACCTGTGACAATATAGCTGAAATGGAGAATAACGTCGGTTTGTTAAATAATGGTAATGAGTACCATCTATTGAACACCTAATTATATGTCAGCCCCTGGACTCCGGGCATTGTAAAAACTTTCACTTAATACTGCCCTGGGATTCCCTGGTGGTGCAGTGGTTAAGAATCCACCTGCCAATGCAGGCGCACGGGTTCAAGCCCTGGTCCGGGAAGATCCCACATGCTGCTGAGAAACTAAGCCCATGCGCCACAACTACTGAACCTGCGCTCTAGAGAGGCCGCAAGCCACAACTACTGAAGCCCGCGTGCCTGGAGCCTGTGCTCCACAACAAGAGAAGCCGCCGCAGTGAGAGGTCCGCGTACCACAATGAAGAGTAGCCCCCACTCACTGCAGCTAGAGAAAGCCCGCACGCAGCACGAAGACCCAACACAGCCAAAAGTAAAAATAAATAAATTTATTAAAAAAAAATATTGCCCTTATGTGGCTGATTTTACTGTCATCCCAGTTCACATCTAGGAAACTTAAGGCTCAAGGCCTCAGATTGCCAGATTTAGCAAGTAAAAATGCAGGATACCCAGTTAAATTTGAATTTCAGATGAACAATGAGTAAATTTTTAGAATAAGTATGTCCCATATATTGCATGGTCCCAAATGCAGTTGCCCCATGCAACATTTGGGACGTACATAAACCTGGCAACCCTATCAGGGCCACGAGGCTAGGCTATGCAGGGATCCAGGTGTATCTTATGCAAAGTCCATGCTCTCTGCTCTCCTCTTCCCTGCCCCGCAAGATCAGCCCCATGCAATGGCAGTGGGCAGTGATTTACATCCTCTGCCGTAAGACTACAGATGACAACAGAGTCCATCAACCATTCCTCTGAAATCACGCAGGCTGGCAACGAGATACAGGAGGACACTGCTGTGAGAGCAATCGATTGTAAAACCCTGTCCAGTCACCACAGCCAAAGGCAGTGCTGCGTGACAAAACAGCTTTTATTTCCAGTCCTCAGAGCCATCCCAAATGAGCTTGTTTCTTTTTAAAGCCTCTGACATAATTCTAATCATGGGGGGCGGGGGGAGGTGTGGGATGAATTTTCTCTTATATACGCAAAGTGATTAAATGAGGTTTCTGATTAATAAGCAAGGCAGGTGGGCCGAGTAATTGGCGAGAATGTCATTCACAGCCCTCTGCTGGACAGAAATGGCAAAACAAGCCAAGTGTTTCCTGAGACCTTTTCCAGCAAGGGCTCTGGGGTCCTGGCTGGGTTTTATTTAACATGGAGAAAAGGAAACCCAGGCCTGGTCTTCCCTGGGTCCTAACCCCCAACAATTAAAAGTTGATTGCATCATCAACTGCAATTCTACTACTGTCTTTTCTCATCAAGTGAGTGAAGATGACGATTTGCATTTGTCTTTGTAAAGCCACGCCAGGACCTCACTGTTCCTCTGTATTAAAAGAAAGGGTCAAGAAAGCAATGGGCTTCTGGGAAGCAGATGGCACAGTGACTCCAACCATGTGGGCAGGGTTCTTGTCACGAGGCAATCGTCTCCAGCACACTGATAATGGCTGTTTTACCTAGAGCTCCCCTGTACCAGATGACATGCTAAGAGTTTTACAAGGCTTGGGAATTCCCTGGAGGTCCGGTGGTTAGGACTCAGAGCTTTCACTGCCGGGGCCAGGGTTCAATCCCTGGTCAGGGAACTAAGATTCCGCAAGCCATCCTCACAAAATCACTCTGGAGGGACAGTATTGTCTATGCCTACTTTACAGATGGAAGACTGGAGGCTCAGCACATTTAAGTCCCTTGTCCAAGGTCACTTGGCAAGGAAGGGATGCATCTGGCAATGTGAACCCCTTTATGTCTGAGGCTAAGGCATAAGGCTTAGATCATCTATGTGCTCCCGCAGCCTCTCAAAATCAAAGAGTTAGGGAACTTTATAAAGTTATATTGTGGTTCATCTTTTCATGATGGGTAAATGTTATTCTGTAATCAGAAAAAATATATAGCTATTTATGTCCTTTTCTTAAATTTAAAGTATGGGCAAAATAAGTCTAATTAGGGCAGAAGAAAAAAAATTAGTTACTTTTTGTTTCACCAACACAAAAGGACTGTTAAAAGTAATACATGCCTGGGACTTCCCTGGTGGTGCAGTGGTTAAGAAGCCACCTGCCAGTACAGGGGACACGGGTTCAAGCCCGGGTCCGGGAAGATCCCACATGCCGCAGAACAACTAAGCCCGTGCACCACAACTACTGAGCCTGCGCTCTACAGCTCACGAGCCACAACTACTGAAGCCCGCGTGCCACAACTACTGAAGGCTGTGTGCTCTACAGCCCATGCTCTGTAACAAGAGAAGCCACTGCAATGAGAAACCTGTGCACCGCAATGAAGAGTAGCCCCTGCTCGCTGCAACTAGAGAAAGCCTGCGCGCAGCAGCAAAGACCCAACGCAGCCAAAAATAACATAAATAAATAAAATATTAAATTACTATAAAAAAAAGTAATACATGCCCATGATTTTTTTTTTAAAAAAGCAAACCAATCAGTACAAATGAGACTATAAAAAGAAGTAAATCCACCCCCGTCCTTGATCCTAGCTCTCAGTTCTTTTCCTCAGAGGCAGCCAGTGTTTCCAGTTAATTGGCTCTCCCCAGAAACAATCTATGCGTGTACAACATACGTGTATACCTCCAAAAGGGTTTTAAAATAATTTTATAATCATCTATAGCTACTTTTTAATTAATTAAGTACCTGTCAACTGTAGTAAGCACAGTGATACCCTCCTTCTGCAAATGAACCAGTTTACAAGGTATGATGTGGGGAAAGCCCAAAGAGGTGGAGGCAGACAGCGGTGGGCGGTAAATGTCCCAGACAACCAGCTTCCCTTCCATTGTCGCCGACAGTATTTGGGTTAAATTCAAATGAAAGACTGACTGGCTAAATTTTCCCACGAGCTTGTTGAATGTCTGCATTTCAAGAGACAGGTTATGAGTTACCTTTGGTAGTAAATATAAAACAAAACATTTATCAACACGACATTTTATAATGTTTTACCTAAATATAGTAGGAAAAAAATAAAGTAAAAAAGAAAAAATCATTTAAAAAAACCCTCCCCCATGGATTGCCATGATCAGGCAGTTCTGAACCTCTGAAGGTTTGCTAAGAGCAAGTGAAGGGTTATATACTGGCTTAATTAAACTGTTTGCTTAAGGCAAATGAAGGAGTGATTAATCATCGTTTACATCTGTTCAACTTCTCTTACTGAGGTTTCAGAGACTGATAAAGAAACTAATGTCTGTTGTGGACAAAGCATGCTCCAGCTGTAAAACATTATAAAACAATTCTCTCGGGCTTCCCTGGTGGCGCACTGGTTGAGAGTCCGCCTGCCGATGCAGGGGACGCGGGTTCGTGCCCCGGTCCGGGAAGATCCCACATGCCGCGGAGCGGCTGGGCCCGTGAGCCATAGCCGCTGAGCCTGCGCGTCCGGAGCCTGTGCTCCGCAATGGGAGAGGCCACAACAGCGAGAGGCCCGCATACCGCAAAAAAAAAAAAAACAAAAACAATGCTCTCAGTTTATTTTTGATCATAAATTATTTTCCCATCAGTGGAAATTTAAGTGCTGTACATAGAAATGCCCCAAGACTTCTTATTAAATGTGTGCTACGTAGGATAAGGCACTAGGCCATCTTTCTTAGAGAGTGTCTTAGAGATGAAGTATAGAAAGAACCCAGAGCAGTGAGTGAACCCTCAGTGAATGTTTACTGAATGAATACATGAAGGAAACTCGGCAATCTGTCATATGGTACAGTAAGCCTGCTGCCTGACTCTCTACTTAGGCAGAGAAGATCCTAAGGTGGACCTCTTTGACTTGAACACAAGAGGGTCAGTAGAAGCACAATTGGTCAAGCAAGGACATCACATTCTTTCTAAGAACAGCCCTGTTTCAACACGAGGCATTTTTATCATTTCAAACTGCAGCCGATCCTCATTCTTTGTGGATTCGGTATTTGTGATTTTCCTTACTTTCTGATATTTATTTGTAACTCCCAAGTCAATCCTCGTGGCACTTTCACAATCATTTGCAGATGTGTGCATGTGCCGAGTGGTGAAAAACATGACATTCCCAGCTGAGGTCAAACAAGGCAACTCTGTGCCTTCTTGTTTCAGCTCTCAAACGAGAGACAAGTGTCCTTTTCCTAGCCTGTTTAATGTGATGTTCTAAAATTTTTTTGGTGCTTTTTTTTTTTTTTTTTTTTTTTGCAGTACACGGGCCTCTCACTGTTGCGGCCTCTCCCGCTGAGGAGCACAGGCTCAGGACGCGCAGGCTCAGCGGCCATGGCTCACGTGCCCAGCCGGCATGTGGGATCTTCCCGGACCGGGGCACGAACCCATGTCCCCTGTATCGGCAGGCGGACTACCAACCACTGCGCCACCAGGGAAGTCCTTTTTGGTGCTTTTTGTTGGTGATTTTGGTATTTAAATTGGCTCCTGACTATGGTACTGAAATGCTGTCTAGTGCTCCTAAGCCCAAGAAGGCTGTGACGTGCCTTACAGAGAATACACCTGTGTTAGGTAAGCCTCATTCAGACAGGAGTTCTATCTAGTGAGTCCAACATTAAGGAACCAACATTATATATTAAATATGGTGTCTTTAAACAGAAACATACATAAAACAAGGTCATGTATCTGTCAGTCGGTGAAAGTACTGTGGCCCTAGGCTGGCAGGAGCCTATTCCTGTATCTCTCCTAGGAGCAATGATCCAGCATCCGCTAATTCAGGTCTACAGAGACCTTACAGAACATAACTGCTGCAAATAATGAGAACTGGCTGTATTTTTTTTTTTGATACTTTGATGTATGAAAAGCAAAGTTTGCAGACAGGATAATCTTGCCTTGTGTCCATCGTCTTTTGGCTTGCCCTCTTGAAAAATAAAGTTTTATTGGTCAAACCAAAGGTGAAGAAGGGAAGCAGAAAAATCATTGTCTGCTGCAGAGAGAGAGCAGGTTATGTGAGTATCAAAAGCAGAAACTGCTGCAGGCGACAGGACTCGAGGTCCACCTCAGGTGCAATCACTCAAGGCAAGCAGGAACGATAAAACGTTCCCCCCAACACCTGGCTCACCACCTTTCTACTGGCTCCGAAACATCTAAATACCCAACATCATCTTTTAGAAATGGGCCTGTCGGGCTTCCCTGGTGGCGCAGTGGTTGGGAGTCCGCCTGCCGATGCAGGGGACACGGGTTCGTGCCCCGGTCCGGGAGGATCCCATATGCCGCGGAGCTGCTGGGCCCGTGAGCCGTGGCCGCTGGGCCTGCGTATCCGGAGCCTGTGCTCCGCAGCGGGGGGGGCCCCCCGCGGGGAGAGGCCCACGTAAACCAAAAAAAAAAAAAAAAAAAAAAGGTCCTATCTATCTATCCATCCATTGACTTATTTTTGGCCCTGCGTCTTTCAGGATCTTAGTTCCCCCACCAGGGTTGGAACCCATGCTGCCTGCATTGGGAGCACCGAGTCTTAACCACTGGACCGCCAGGGAAGTGCACCCAGTATCATTTTTATTGCTCTGAAAACTGAGCAGCTTAAAGGGATCCACTCATGTTCAACTACTTTACTTATTTCACCCCAAATTAACTTTCATCTTTTGTCATGTGCACACATACATTATAAAAATCATCACTTTCTTGGGTATTTTCTCATGGTAGTAAACTTTCTTTGCCATTTATTTACTTATTTATTTATTTATTTTTAAAATATTTATTTGGCTGTGCTGGTTTTTAGTTGCGGCCCAAGGGATCTTTGCTGCCGCGTGTAGGATCTTCAACTGCAGCATGCAAACTCAGTTGCGGCATGCAGGATCTAGTTCCCTGACCAGGCATCGAACCCAGGTCCCCTGAATTGGGAGTGCAGAGTCTTAGCCACTGGACCACCAGGGAAGTCCCTGCCATTTATTTTTATCCATATTATTTTGAACAATCCATCCATTATTTTTAACTGGCCATTCAGTATGGTAAAGGACCTAAGTAAAAATTTCAAATTATTTTGCAATATAAAGATACATACAAAGAGAAGCCCAAAATGACTAAGCTGACACACACATATTTATTCTCCACAGTCAGGCGTAAAAAAAAGCACAACAGGCATACTCACTTTTTCTGTTAAAAGTGGGGCACTGTGAACAAGTATATCTCCCTCTTCATACTGATAAGCACAGAAAAAAAAAATCACTACTAAAAAAAGACTTGGTTTCCAAAAGAAGAGCTACAACAGCAAAAATCAAAACAAATGCATCTGAACAGCGTCAGAGCTTTGCAATTTCTACAGGTAGGATAACCTGCTGTCTCTAGGGACATCTAGAAACATTCTGAAAAAAAAGTAAATACATAAAAAACGCCACAAATGATTGTGACTAAGTGGTAGTTAATGCAAATTTGAATTCTACATTTATAAGGCTTTGAAGCTATAATTAATACCTGAAGGAATGAATATCACTGAAAATCAGCAATTCAAGGCGTTTTTGTTGAGCTTTTTTTTATTGAGGAAAATTCACTTAATATAAAATTAACCATTAACCCTTCTAAAGTGTAAAATTTAGTGCCATTTAGTACATTAACAATACTGTGCAACCATCATTCCCTCTAGTTCCAGGACACTTTCGTCAGCCCAAAAGGAAGCCCTCTATCCATTAAGCAGTCACCTCCCATCCCCCCCAGCCCCTGACAACCACCATCCTGATTTCTGTCTCTATGAATTTACCTATTCTGGACAGTTCATATCAATGGAATTATAGAGTATGTGGCTTTTTGTGTCTGGCTTCTTTCGTTCAGCATAATGTTCTAAAGGTTCATCCACGGTGTGGCAGGTGTCTGTACTTCATTGCTTTTAATGGCTCAATAATATTCCATATATGGGTAGACCACATTTGGTTTATCCATTCATTAGTTGATGGGCATTTGATTTGTTTCTACCTTTTGATTATTGTGAATAATGCTGCTGCTATGAACATTTGTGCATAAGTATTTGTTTGAACACCTGTTTTCAATTCTTTGGGGTATATACCTAGAAATTGGTGGGTCATATGGTAATTTTATGTTTAACTTTTGATATTTTTTTAATCTCATGATTTTTCCCTGTGTCAGTATACATATGACCAATCTGTTTGTTAATTCCTTTTTGAAAGGGAATAAAGTCCAAGATCTTGAAAAACACTTGATCTTGAATATATTTTAGACCTTAAATATATCTACATAAATATTTGCCACATTACTTTAAAAACTTAAATGAAATTTAAATTATCTGCTTCTGATTTAATATGCTAATTTCCAATGGGACTAAAATAAATGCTATAATTAAATCAAAACATTTTAATATATGTTTATTGCTTTCTAAGTAGATACTATATTGTTACATTACCAAAAGATCTGTACTTAAAGAATAAACACATACTTGTTTATACATTTAAAACAAATGAAAATATTTCTACTTACCCACATATAATATATTGCTTGTGTTTTACTATTGCTCACCAATTCTTTATTATTTGTTGGATTAAAAGTAAGGTAGCTCTGAAATATAAAGTATGAAAATATGTTACATTATAATACGTTTTCTGTTTCTCTCTGGTTAAGCTGAATGTTAAATTATTTTATTTTATTTATTTATTTTTTTTTTGCAGTACGAGGGCCTCTCACTTTTGTGGCCTCTCCTGTTGCGGAGCACAGGCTCCAGACGCGCAGGCTCAGTGGCCATGGCTCACGGGCCCAGCCACTCCGCGGCACGTGGGATCTTCCCAGACCGGGGCACGAACCCATGTCCCCTGCATCGACAGGCGGACTCTCAACAGCTGCGCCACCAGGGAAGCCCTAAATAATATCTTTAATTAAATAACTGAGTAGGAATATAAAATAGAAAAGACATGGGGGATTTCCCTGGTGGTCCAGTGGTTAAGACTCCACACTTCCACTGCAGGGAGCACAGGTTCAGTCCCTGGTCAGGGAACTAAGATCCCACATGCTTCGTGGCATGGTCAAAATAACAAAAACAAACAAACAAAACAAAAAAACAAGAAAAAAAAAAGACATGGCATTTTGTAAGCAATAGGAATATAATTTAAATACTGAGTGTTAAAATTAATGGTCTCAAACGTGTTTCCTTTCTTATTTAGTCTTATTTATTATAATTCATCATCTATAAATTGGAGCAAGCAAAAGTAAACTAGTATATTCACCAATAACCTTTATTCTGTGTCCTTTTGGACAAAGACTGCTGTGTATTCATTTCTAAATTTAACAGGGCCACAAGGGAACTTGGAATGAATGCAAAATATTGGAAGGGGGTTCTGATTCCTGCCAAGATGGTGTGTAGCATGGGTTGCCTGGCTCCCTCCCCAAAAATCAACCCTGCAGACACTATAGAAGTGAAGGAAACCTGAAATGCAGAAACTAAGTAACAAGTGAGAAATCCCTGGGGAGACAAGGCATAAGTCTTGAAATGATATATGCATGGGAGGCGGGCAGCTGCAGCCTGACATGGAGGGCTGCAGGAGACAGATGAGAGATGGGTTGGAGAAATGCTTCGTTTGTTTTTTAAAGATTTTTTTGGATGTGGACCATTTTTAAAGTCTTTATTGAATTTCTTACAATATTGCTTCTGTTTTACATTCTGGTTTGTTGGCACTGAGGCATGTGGGATCTTAGCTCCCCAACCAGGTACCAAACCCGCACTCCCTGCATTGGAAGGTGAAGTCTTAGCCACTGGACTGCCAGGTAAGTCCCAAGAAATATTTTTTTTCTTTGATTTTTTTTTCATCTTTATTGGAGTATAATTGCTTTACAATGTTCTGTTAGTTTCTGCTGTATAACAAAGTGAATCAACGATATGCATACATATATCCCCATATCCCCTCCCTCTTGCGTCTCCCTCCCACCCTCCCTATCCCACCCCTCTAGGTGGTCACAAAGCACCAAGCTGATCTCCCTGTGCGATGCAGCTACTTCCCACTAGCTATCTATTTTACATTTGGTAGTGTATATATGTCCATGCCACTCTCTCACTTCGTCCCAGCTTACCCTTTCCACTCCCCGTGTCCTCAAGTCCATTCTCTACATCTGCGTCTTTATTCCTGTCCTGCCCCTAGGTTCTTCAGAACCATTTTTTTTTTAATCCATATATATATGTTAGCATATGGTATTTGCTTTCCGAGAAATGCTTTTTAAGTTCCATTCCTGCCTCTCCCACCCCATCTCCTATTCCTTGTCTGTTGACTGCTGCCTCATTTCAGGAATGTAAAATACCAATGCCAATGTCAGATGATCAATTTCAGGACAGCACAAAGGCCTGGGTGGGGTGAAGAACTGGTGAAAGCAAGTGCATGGATGAGGCCTCACAAAGGCTGAAAATCAGCCTCAAATCACCTCAATCTCTGATTAGATCGAGGCGACCACTTTGCCAAAGGCCTCTAAGAAGCAAAAGTAAGTCTTCCTTGGAGTAAGTTATTATCAACCTGAGCCTCAAATTATTCCTATGCTTTTTAAAGCACAACATCTAGCATTCAATGAAAAACAACCAGGCATAGGCAAGAGACATGTCCAAATGACTGAAAAACAAGGGAGAAAAGTAATCTACAGAAAGAGACCCCCAGGAGATCCAGGCATTTTTTAAGGCTGAGTAGTATTCCATTATATATATGTACCACATCTTCTTTATCCATTCATCTGTTGATGTACACTTAGGTTGCTTCCATATCTTGGTAATTGTAAATAATGCTGCTAGGAACACTGAGGTGTATGTATCTTTTTGAATTAGTGTTTTTGGTTTTTTTCAGATATATATCCAGGAGTGGAATTGCTAGGTCATATGGAAGTTCTATTTTTAGTTTTTTGGGAAACCTCCATATTGTTTTCCACAGTGGCTGCACCAATTTACATGCCCACCAACAGTGCACGAGGGTTCCCTTTTCTCCACATCCTCTCCAATATTTGTTATATTGTGGTCATTCTGATAGGTGTGAGGTGATATCTCACTGGAGTTTTAATTTGCCTTTCCCTGATGATCAGCAATCAGATAACTCTATTTTTTAAAAAAATCAAGTGGAACTTCTAGATCTGAAGAAAAAATGGTTTAAAAAACACAAAATGGAAATTGAGTTATTTTTAGTGAGGTGGATGGACCTAGAGTCTGTCATACAGAGTGAAGTAAGTTAGAAAGAGAAATACAAATACCGTATGCTAACGCATATATATGGAATCTAGAAAAATGGTACTGATGGACCTAGTGGCAGGGCAGGAATAAAGATGTAGATGTACACAATGGACTTGACAACACAGAGGGGGAAGAGGAAGCTGGGACGTAGTGAGAGAGTAGCATCGGCATACATACACTACCAAATGTGAAATAGAAGGCTAGTGGGAAGCTGCTGCACAGCACAGGGAGATCAGCTCAGTGCTTTGCGACGACCTAGAGGGTGGGATAGGGAGGGTGGGAGGGAGGCACAACAGGGAGGGGATGGGGGATACTAACACAACATTGTAAAGCAATTATACTCCAATAAAGATGTATTAAAAAAAAGTGAATAAAACATAGGGTGGGAGAAAAATAAATAAAAATAAAGAATAAAAAACAAAGGACTTCCCTGGTGGCACAGTGGTTAAGAATCCGCCTGCCAATGCAGGGGACACGGGTTCAAGTCCTGGTCTGGGAAGATCCCACATGCCGTGAAGCAACTAAGCCCGTGCACCACAACTACTGAGCCTGTGCTCTAGAGCCCACAAGCCACAGCTACTGAGCCCGCATGCCACAACTACTGAAGCCCGCGCGCCTAGAGCCCATGCTCTGCAACAAGAGAAGCCACTGCGATGAGAAGCCCATGCACCACAATGCAGAGTAACCCCCGCTCGCCACAACTAGAGAAAGCCCACGCACAGCAACGAAGACCCAATGCAGCCAAAAATAAAATAAAAATAAAAAATAAATAAATTTATTTAAAAAGAAAAGAATCCGCCTGCTAGTGCAGGTTCGAGCCCTGGTCCAGGAAGATCACACATGCCGTGCAGCAACTAAGCGTGTGTGCCACAACTAGTGAGCCTCCACTCTAGAGCCCACAAGACACAACTACTGAGCCCACGTGCCACAACTACTGAAGCCTGTGCGCCTAGAGCCTGTACTCCACAACAAGAGAAGCCACCGCGATGAGAAGCCCGCGCACTGCAACAAAGACTAGCACCCACTCGCTGCAACTAGAGAAAGCCCGCACGCAGCAACGAAGACCCACGGCAGCCCAAAAATAATAATATATATAAATAAATAGGGCTTCCCTGGTGGCGCAGTGGTTAAGGATTGCCTGCCAACGCAGGGGACACAGGTTCGAGCCTTGGTCCGGGAAGATCCCACATGCCGCAGAGCAACTAAGCCCGTGCGCCACAACTACTGAGACTTCACTCTAGAGTCCGTGAGCCACAACTACTGAAGCCCGCGTACCTAGAGCCCGTGCTCCACAACAAGAGAAGCCACCGCAATGAGAAGGCCGTGCACTGCAACGAAGAGTGGCCCCCGCTCTCCTCAACTAGAGAAAGCCCATGCACAGCAACAGAGACCTAACGCAGCCAAAAATAAAAATTTCAAAAATAAATAATACATCTTTTAAAAAAATTATGTTGGGTGAAAGAAGCCAGAGCCCTCCACAAAGAGTCTATTTCATAAAATTCATTAAAATATGCAAAGTAACATTAATAAACAGGAGAGTCGATGTTGGGAGATGGATAGAGGGAAGAGATCATACCTTGAAGGCCATAGTGAGGAGTCTGGGTTTTATTCTAAGGACAAGGGAAGGCATTGAAGGATTCTGAGTCAGGGAGTGATATGATATAACCCGTTTTGCTTATTTAAAAAATATCACTCTGGGGCTTCCCTGGTGGCACAGTGGTTGAGAGTCCGCCTGCTGATGCAGGGGACACGGGTTCGTGCCCCGGTCCAGGAAGATCCCACATGCCGCGGAGCGGCTGGGCCCGTGAGCCATGGCCGCTGAGCCTGAGCATCCGGAGGCTGTGCTCCGCAACGGGAGAGGCCACAACAGTGAGAGGCCCGCGTACCGCAAAAAAAAAAAAAAAAAAAAAATATCACTCTGACTGCTGTGGGGAGATTGGCAAGGGTGCAGCAGGGTGCAGCTGGGAGGATGCGGAGGTCATGCAGGCAGAGGTGACTGTGGTCTGGACTAGATGGTGGCAGTGCAGACAGGGAGGAGAGGAAGAAGTCCAGCATTGACCTTGGAAATAAATGGTACTTACAGCCATTGGGATGAGATACCCAAGAAGCAAGCATGGCAAGAAGAGGAAGAGGCAGAAGAAGAGCTCCCAGAACCAAACCCTGAGGAACGCCAAGATTTAGAAGGTGTAAAATGAAAGAAGAAGCCACAAAGGAACCTGAGAAAGAACGGCCGGGGAGACAGCAGGAGAAGCGTCTTGTGACCCCACTGGGAAGGGTGTGATGAGGGTTCAACAACGTCCGTTTGATTTGGGAACACCAGTGACCGTGATAAGCATAGTTCTGGTAGAGCTGTGGGTGGGTGGAGGACAGATGAAAAGAACAGAAATGTCCATCAACAGAGGATGGATAAATAAGTTGTGTGACACTCAAAGAACAAAAAACTGTACAGCAGTGAAAGTGAATAGGAATTCCAGCTCAAGAATCGACATCAGTGAATCTCAGAAACAATGCTGAGCAGATGAAGCAATTAGTCTGATTCCAAACATAGAAAGGTCAGGAACAGGTAAAATGAAAGAAGACAGTATTGAAGGATACATACATCACTGGGGAAAAGTGTAAAGAAAAGCACAGGCAGGTATAACACAAAATTTGGGATAATGGTTAACTCGGGAGCAAAGCTTGGGATGAGATCGGGGAGGGGAACACAGGGGTTTCTAGGGTTTCGGTAACATTCTATTTCATGATCCAGTGGTGAGCACACAGGTACATTTTATTTTCTTCCTTAAAATGTACACATTTTGCATGTATGCCTTATTTAGCAATAAAGTGTAAAGAAGTCAACTATTTCTTGCAAAAAAAAAAAAAAAAGTAAATGAGACGAGGAAGTAGAGAAAGCAAGTGTGGACAGCGCTTCTGAGAAGTTTCCCTGGGAAGAGGGGCAGAGGGCGTAGCTGGAAGGAGACGTGGGGTCGGAGGAGTTCTCTCAGGACCGGTGGTCCTGAAGCGTGTTTATTCTCAGTAGAGGGAGAGTTGACAGCTGCAGGAGAAGGGCCCTGAGGCAGCCAGTGGTGTGGGGGGGATCTAGTGCACTGGCCCTTCACCGCAGTCAGAGGGGAAAAGAGAAGATGGCGGGGTTGAAGGTGTGTTGCAGGCTGGGGAGGGAGAACAGGCCCGTGTTTGTATCTGATGGCTTCCATTTTCTCAATGAAACACGGGGTTGGGGGCGGTCACCCGCTGAGCATGGGAAATGGAGTGGGGAGGTGGGACGAGCAGGTGTGTAACTGTCGTCTCTGGAAATGAAAAGTGTCACAGCCGACCAGAGTGGCCAAGCCAGGCCCAGAGCCGTCTTGAAATTCGTGACTGAACTGCAAGTAGGATGAATCTGCTGGATTGGGTGCTTCTCCCCAGCTACATTCAGCCCACTGGGGTCCAGGTCCAGAGGAGGCTGAGGGTGGGGCTCACCCAGAGCTGGGGGGGCTTGTGTGGTGCTGTCCAGCAGCACTTCCCATTGCGGTGGAGGTGTTCTAACACCTGTGCTGCCAACAATGTAGCCACCAGCCGCATGTGGATAACGAGTGGCTGAAATGTGGCTAGTGAAGCCGAGGAAATGAATTTGTACTTTAACTTTAATCAATTTCCATTTTTGTTTGTTTGGGTCACGCCACGCGGCTTGTGGGGACCTTAGTTCCCCAACCAGGGATTGAACCTGAGCTCCCTGCAGTGTAAATGCAGAGTCCCAACCACTGGACCGCCAGGGAATTCCCGAAATTTCAATAGCCGTGTGTATTTAGCAAAGTTGCAATATAGAAATCAGTTGAAGTTCTATACACTAACAATGAACATTCTGAGAAGAAAATTAAGAAAACAATTCCACTTAATAATAGCATCAAAAAAAATACTTAGGAATAAATTTAGTCGAGGAGGTGAAAGATTTGTACGCTGAAAACTACGAAATGCTGCTGCTGCTGAAAGAAATTAAAGACGACGTAAATAAACAGAAAGACAGGGGCTTCCCTGGTGGCGCAGTTGTCAAGAATCCACCTGCCGGGAGATCAGCTCGGTGCTTTGTGACCGCCTGGAGGGGTGGATAGGGAGGGTGGGAAGGAGGGAGACGCAAGAGGGAAGAGATATGGGAACATATGTATATGTATAACTGATTCACTTTGATATAAAGCAGAAACTAACACACCACTGTAAAGCAATTATACTCCAATAAAGATGTAAAAAAAAAAACCAAAGAATCCGCCTGCCAATGCAGGGGACACGGGTTCAAGCCCTGGTCCGGGAAGACCCCACATGCCACGGAGCAACAAAGCCCGTGCGCCACACCTACTGAAGCCCGTGCGCCTGGAGCCTGTGCTCCGCAACAAGAGAAGCCACCACAATGAGAAGCCCGCGCACCGCAACAAAGAGTAGTCCCCGCTTGCCACAACTAGAGAAAGCCCGCATGCAGCAACAAAGACCCAACACAGCCATAAATAAATAAATAAGTAAAATAAATCTATTAAAAAAGAAACAAATAAAATAAACAGAAAGATATCCATGCTCGTGGACTGGAAGACAATGCTGTTAAGATGACAAGACTACCCAAAGCAATCTATAGATTCAATGCAATCTCTATCAAAATCCCCAACGCATTTTTGGTAGCAATAGAAAAACCCATCCTAAATACCCAGGTATGGCTGGTAGCTTTGAGAAGTAAGGAAATTGTGGGGGGCACTTCCCTGGCGGTTCAGTGGTTAGGACTCCGCGCTTTCACTGCCAAGGGTGCAGGTTTGATCCCTGGTCGGGGAACTAAGGTCCCACAAGCCATGTGGTGTGGCCAAAAAAAAAAAAAAACAAGGAAGGAAATTTTTTTGAGGGAGCAGAAGGAATGTTGGCGGAGGGAGAGCAGGAGAGACATAAAGCTGATAACGATGTGTGCCTTGCTGAGTCCAGTCACCCAGACCCCCTGCTTGGGTTCTGGTTCAAACAAGCCATGTACATCCTTACCACAGTGTCTGGCACACAGTAGGTACTCAATAAATGCAGGTGAATGACGGCTGCGAGCATGAATGAGACGATGCAGAGCAGCACAGTCAATGCTCTGGGTGCCCTCGGCAAGTCACCTCACGCAAATCGAGAATAATAACTCCCCTACATGCAGAGCAGTTCAGAACATGCTTCTAGAATAAGAAAGGCTGCTAGCTGGGTGACTTTAGACCAATTATTTGATAGTTAATAGTAGTAATATGAATCCCACAGTAACATCTTCTCAGCATGTTTGCACGGATTACATGAGATACTGTATGCAAAGAACTTAGCACAATCTGGCACATAAGAGGTGATCAAAAAAATTAGAGGGGCTTCCCTGGCAGCACAGTGGTTGGGAGTCCGCCTGCCGATGCAGGGGACGCGGGTTCGTGCCCCGGTCCGGTAAGATCCCACATGCCGTGGAGCAGCTGGGCCCGTGAGCCATGGCCACTGAGCCTGCGCGTCCAGAGCCTGTGCTCCGCAGCGGGAGAGACCACAACAGTGAGAGGCCCGTGTACCGGGAAAAAAAAAAAATTAGCTATTATAATCAAAAATAAAATGAGATCATGGACAGGAGTTTTTTAAAAGCTCTTGGACACCATAACAAAGCTCCAGTAAAACAAAAAGTAGTTTTGAACTGGCTTCAGTGTACCTTTAGGTGGATCTTTACAGGCTCGAAATGAACTCACCTGAAAACCATACTCTTTGGGAAGGTTAAGAGTGCAGGCCGGTGTTTCCACCGCTAAAGTCCACCTCCAGATGCAAACTTTCTGTAAGTGATGGCAGACAGAGGAGAGTGAGAAGATTCCTGAAGGCTACTGGAGGAACCTACACCTCTTGTGGTAAGCCAGTGACCTCCGCTAACTAAGCAAAGCACAGTGAGCTAAGCTGCAGGCAGGGAGCCCCTGACCGGTCACCCCCCTCCACCCAGAGAACCACAGACGCCACACGGCCTGAGCAGAGCTGCTTGCGGGGACACTTTTGACGGGCGGGCCAGCCGCTGAAGCTGCCGTGACAAGCCCTGTACCTGGATCTCACCGTCCGAGATGGTCGCCAGGTACTTGGCATCGTGGGTGATGGCTATGGCCCTGATGCCATCACCTTCTGGGCAGCTGTCGAATATCGTGTGCACAGGAATGCTGCAAGACAGGACGGGGGACACCCAGGTCAGGAACAGAACAGCTACGGAGAAACAAACGTGGTCCACCCACATGATGGAAAGTTGCTCCGCCATAAAAAAGGAGTGAAGCACTGACACAGGCGACAACACGGATGAACCTTGAAACCATGGTGCTGAGTGAAAGAAGCCAGACACCAAACGCTACAGATTGTATGATTCCATTTATATCAAACCTCCAAGATAGGCAAATCCATAGAGGCGGAAAGCAGGTGTGTGTTTTCCAGAGGGTTGGGGAGCGGGATGTGAAGGCTGATGGTTTCAGGGTTTCCTTCTGCGGTGAAGAAAATGTTCTGCAACCAGAGAAGAGGCGGTGGTTGCGCCACACTGTGCATGTACTAAATGCCACTGAGTTGTTCACTTTAAAATGGTTACTTTTATGTTATGTGAATTTTACTCAAATTTAAAACAAAAGCTAACTCAGGGCAGCACGGAAACATGCTATTTGTTCTCTCCTGGAGCTCTAGTCTCTCCTTCATTATCGAGCGCTGATTCTGTGCCAGGCGTGAAGGATGAGAACATGAAACAAGATGTCTAGGACACCATCCTAGCTCTCAGGAAAGCCGGCGTCCTCCTCCAGAAGGGGGAGTGTAAACAAGCACAGGCTTTCTCGGCAGCAACTTCCCTGCATCTGTCAAAATCCTCAATGCACAGACCCTAAGACTCGCCAATTCCACTTCTACAACTTTTTTTTTTCCTAGAGAAATAATAGCAAAAGTAAACAGAGATAAATGCCAGTTCATGTTTATTGTGGCACTGCTTTAATAGCAAAAATCTGGAAACAACATAAATATCCATTAATATGGGATTTGTTTAAAAAAATATCATGGTAAACCATATAATGAAAAAGCATGCCACCTTCAAAACAAATGAGGCAGATTTGGGAAAGTGACCAAAGTTTTGTGGAAAAAAGCAAATAGCAAAACAGTAGACGTAGCATCATCCTGAGAGAGAGAGAGAGGAAAGAGAGAGAGAGAGAGAGAGAGAGAGAGAGAGAGAGAGAGTGTGTGTGTGTGTGTGTGTGTGTGTGTGTGTATAGAAAAAAGTCTGGAGGAATGAACTCCAAACTACAATGGTGACTCTGGATATAGGTTTGGGTGAAGGGGGACTTACTTTTTTTTTTTCTTACACATCTGTATTGTGTCACTGGCAAGACTTTAGAACTGTAAGATGCAGAAAAAGCCTTAACACACGCAAAATTTAATTAGATGATATCTGAATACCTGAGAGAGCCAAAGAAATGCAAGAAATAGCTGGAGCAATGATGGAAGTAAGCTGTGATGTGGTGGGGGTCCCTGACTTCCACTGGAAGAGTGGGTGGTAGGAAGACTTAATCCCGGAATGCGGGCTATGCAGACCCCCCGTTGCTTTTTCATTATGGAGACCTTGTTACAGCGAATATACACAGGCCTCAGTATGTCACACAAGCCTCAGTATGTCACATCGGTGTCCCAATTGGCTGGAACCAAGTCTGTGCCCTAGCTGAGGACCTGTCTGGTTCTCTGTCACTTGAGATATTTTATCCCACTGAGACGTGGCCCCAAAAATTGCCTTGGGAAGGGAGTCCTAAAGTTGTTGGGAATGACATAATGACGTTCTTTGTGGGAAGGTGTATCTCATCCCCAGGGATATTTAGAATTAAATGCAGAGAAGATAAGTCAGTTGGACCTGTACTCTTAACATATTTGTGATAAGAGAATTTGTTACTTTTTTTAAGAATGCGTCATGTTTAACAGAATTTAACATATTAGAGTCTCTAACAGATTAATTTGTGATTCTAATTGAAAGTCTGTAGTTGATTTAGGCTTGTGATTTTAAATTCAAATTGTATTAGGTTTATAAACAATACGTGAACACTTAAGAGAACTTAGGACTTGCCATATTTATGTCTAATTTATTAGATTTACAAGAATTACTTAAGTACTGGTGAAGGATTTATTTGTTAATCAGACTACTGAAGAACTTAAAGATGAAACTGAATATACTCAATTTCTAAATGCAGTTAAAATATTTAAAAGGAGTTAATAAAATTTGTGAGACCAAACATTAATCAAAGCCCCCTTATAGGCAATTGCAAAAATACGCTAGATTTACAGAGTAAGATTTAAGTTGAACTAATATCTCAAGGAAGAAGTACCATTTATCACTTTAATAAGGTGAATATTAATTCTAAGACCAGAGAGTCCTTTCTGGGTTCCCAGAGTCATCATTTGCAATATCATAAAACTCATACGGACATATCATTTTAATTGTTAACCACAGATACACTTCACTTTGTAATTTTAAAAAATGACTGCCAGAGTCACCTCCGGTCTAGTGGGGGAGACAGCTCTATAAACAAGAAAAAAGCAAAGGATAAACACTGTTTGAATGGAGGCCAGCTCTGCCTGGGGCAGGGGAGCTGTCAGCAAAGGCTTGAGAGAAGAGAGGCACCAGAGGGGCCCATCCTTCCTGCCTCAGGACTTCCTGATGCAGGAGATGACTTTCCCTGGTGTGTGTCAGGTGGATGTGCCATTTCTTGCAGCTGAAAAGCATGTAATCGCTAGAGATGACCGCTAGGCAAGCAAACGGGAATTTGATTTCGTGGGGGAAGTGTTTGCATGGCTAGGATGTGAGCGTGTACTCCCTGTAACAAGGGCTGAGCTGACAACGGGCAGCAGGGGAGCCCGTTAGGATTTTGCGCATGGGAAAAGATCATGCTCAAAATGTTGTAAAGAAAAACCATATGATGATATATGATGATGGCCATACATGTGTGTTTTTTTTTTGGCCTCGAGGCAGGCAGGATCTTAGTTCCCTGACCAGGGATCGAACCCGTGGCCCCTGCAGTGGAAGCACGGAGTCTTAACTACTGGACCACCAGGGAAGTCCCCTTACACATGTGCATTTAAAACAACATCAGGGGGCTTCCCTGGTGGCGCAGTGGTTGGGAGTCCACCTGCCAATGCAGGGGATGCGGGTTCGTGCCCCGGTCCGTGAGGATCCCGCGTGCCGCGGAGCGGCTGGGCCCGTGAGCCATGGCCGCTGAGCCTGTGCGTCCGGAGCCTGTGCTCCAAAACGGGAGAGGCCACAACAGTGAGAGGCCTGCGTACCGCAAAAAAAAAAAAAAAAAAATCAACAGATGAACGGATAAACAAAATGTGTTATATCCATGCAATGGAATCTTAAACAGCTAAAAAAAGGAATGGAGTACTGATTCATGCTACAACATGGAAGAATTTTGAAAATATTATAAGTAAAAGAAGCCAGACACAAAAGCCACATATTGTATGATTCCATGGACATGAGATGTCCAGAATAGGCAAATCTTTACAGCTAGAAAGTAGATTAGAGGTTGAGGGGAGGGGAGAATGAGGACTTCATTAGTTCAGATCTTCTGATTGGGTGCTGCGAGTGTTCTGGAAATAGTGGTGACGGCTGCACAACACTGTGAATGTCATCAATGCCAGTGAATTGTATATACACTTAAAAGTGGTTCAGTGTCACGGAGGCTGGGTTGAAGAGCGAAACTGCAGTGGGGGAGATCGGTCAGGAGGCTACTGCAATGGCCCAAGCAGGAGAGGGTGGGCAGAGGTGGTGGATGTGGGTTCAGAAGTTATTTGGAGGTGGAGGCGCAGGACTTTTGGACATTTTAGCAGGAGATGCCCACGGGACATGCAGGTGGACTGTCCTCCAGCAGCTTCCCCATCAGCAGACAGGAAACACTGAGACGGCTGTTGAGAGTAAGATGGCGCAGTTTCAAACCCTGGCTCTGCTCCTGCCTGACTGGAGAACATCACCAACAGCGTCCTCACGCCCTGAGGCCACAGCTAAGGAATGGCCAGAGGAGGATGAGGCTGAAAAGAGTCTGAGAGGGAACAGACAGCAAGCAGGATGAGGACCAGGGGACATGGTGTCAGAGGGGCCAGGGGAAATGATTAGGTAATATGGCCCTATGGAGGCCACCGGTCACCTGGGAGAGAGCAGTTCCTGTGTCACAGAACATTCAACATAACTTCTTCCTAAACTTCTTCTCCACCTGGACTCGTCCGCCCCCCACCTCCCCCCATCCCACCCCCCTACACACCCAACCAAGGCCTTACAGTCTTGTCAGTGAATCTAGCACTACTCTCTACCTCTAGGACCAGGAATTCTGAAAGGACACACATCTGTGAGCATCTCTCCTGGGCCAGGTGCTGCGCTCTGGATCTTCCTAACAATCCCGTAGGGTAAGTAGAGTAGATCAAATGGCGCCCCCTCGAAATTCATTCCACCCAGAACCTCAGAAGCGAGCTTCTACAGAAAGAGAGTCTCTGCGGATGTAATTAGTTAAGACGAGGTCATACTGGTTAGGGTGGACCCTAAACCCAATGACTGGAGTCCTTATAAAAGAGAAGACCTTACAGAGAGACACAGAGGGGGAAACGCCACATGAAGATGGAAGCAGAGGCTGGAGTGACGTGTCTACAGGTCAAGGACCACCAAGGATGCCAGCAACCACCCAAAGGAGGAGGGGAGCATGGGACAGATTCTCTCTCAGGGCCCCAGGAGCTCCCTGCAGACTCCCCAATTTCAGACGTTTGGCCTCATGAACAGTGAGAAAATAAATTTCTGTGATTTTAAGCCACCCAGATTGGGGTAATTTCTTACAGAGCCCGGGGAAATGAAGACAGTAAGTACGATTAGTCTTTTTTTTTTTTTGGCAGATGGTGAAAGTCACATAATTTCTCTGGGTCTCCCAGCTGGGTGAGTGTGGGTTAGCCTCCCTCAGCCCAGTCTGCCTGGGGGCCACCGACAAACCAAGTTTCTGGGCTTAGAGAGCCAAGAATCACCCATGGGAAATTCACCAAAGTAATGTCATCCCAACAGGCCTTGAGGCAATAAGACAACCTCCCCTGAGAACCTCGCCCCTCGCCCTGCCTCCCAGCACCAGCTTCTGTATCCCTGGACCGGCATGACTCCTTTTTTTGCGGGTCACGGTGGCAGACACTGTACAAAAACGCGGGGGGAAGTGGCTGCGACATGCCTACCCCGTGAAGCAGTCCCATATGATTATCAGGCAGTCGGGCCCTTTGTCAGCCGTGGAGACCCAGCGCCTGTCTTCACTGATGCAGAGGCAGGAGATGACGTTGGGGTGGCCCTGCAGACGTGGAGAGAAGTCGCTCTGAGACAGGGGTTGTGGGGGGCCCAGCCCTGGCACCAGCAGGAAAGGCGGGGCCCCGGAGGCACACCTGAGCTCCCTTTCCAGATGCCGCTGGCTGAAAATCCTACTCCCACCCGCCTTCCCTGGTGTTTCTCTACAGCCGGAGGTTTTCAAACTTCCCCTCAAAACACTCTCAGGGTAAGCTGCACTCCCTGCAAGAACAGTGGCTTCCTAGGGGTCGAGGCGTATACCCGACTCTGAACCCACGTTGAGAATACATGTCTAGGTCACCCCACCTCCAGCCCCCTCGAACCTCTCTACCAGCCTCATCTCCCCCAAAACTGCTCACTCAGGTCACTGAGCAGCTCTGGAACCAAAGCCTCCTCACGGGCCTCTGCTTTCACTCGTATCCTCCTACGATCTTCCCCACACAACAGAGGAATCTTCTGGAAACACAAACAAGATGGCAGCCGGGAAACAACCCCTGTTTCCCTCCTTCCGTGTCACCCCTCGGTCACTCTGGCCTCTCTATGGGCCTCACGCACGAGGCCTGAAAACTCGGAGCTCTGTCTGTCTGGGATGCTGTTCCCCGGCAAAACGGCCCCGGGCTAGCTCATGCTCAGCCTTCACGTCTTGGAACAAACAGCACTTTTTTATTCCCTGCCCACCCAATCCAGAGGAATCTCCTCTCACCCTGATTCTTCCCTCTTAGAGCATTTTCACGTTTCCTTTCGAGCAACTGTTAAAATCTTTAGGTATATGCTTCTATGTTCACTTGTTTAACGACTGTCTCTCCATGAGGGGGGACTAGATCTATTTTGTTCATGACTACAGAGCCATCACCTGAAACATAGTGGTTATGATAAATACACGTGGGATGAATGAATGAACGAACGAATGGCCAAGGCCACTCCCAGCCATCCAACTCTGCGGAGGCTGGACGCCTCCCTACTTCTCAGCCCCTCTGCCCTGCCCGCCCCCCTGACTCTGAGCCTGCCCACCACACTGTGCTTTCTCCCCCTGCTGCTACCTCTGTGCTCAGTGCTACACATTCAACTAAGCTCTGAGAAGGTCTGCTTGCTGACTGTGTGTGTATTTCAGGACTTCTAGAAAGCAAATTCCTTAAGTTACACCCACGTGTCTTGGATCCCTGGCACGATGCTGAATACTGGCTGAGCTCTTGGAAAATACTTTGTGAAGTTTCTGATCTAGGCATTGACTAAGGAAGGTCCTTATATGTCAACTGAAAAGGGTAACATGGAACTGTTTACCGGGTTAACTAGTGGAAAGTCGGACACCAGGGAAACGTGACATTTGGACAGGTAAATGATGAAAAAGGGGTCAAAAATATCCGGAACAGAGGAGGCAGAGCGGTGAGGGGAAGGCAGGCATGTGGGGCATTCGGGGAGGCACAGAGCAGGGTGTAAATAAAGCCAAGTGCTGGAGGGAGGAGACAGGAGGAAAGACTGACCTACTTAATGCTTTGAAGTCAGGAGACCTGGATGTAAGACCTGGCTTCAGCATCTGCTAGCACAGCCTTGGGCAAGTCAGCTAAATCCCTCTGAGCCTCAGTTTCCTCTCCTGTGAAATGGGAATATTAACACTCATTTCTCAGCAGGAGTAGGAGGATCAAAGCCCTTTGAGCCCTGGAAAGGAGTCTGAGTGTTAATTAGGTTCGAATCCCTGCCCTTTGCATCTCACCATAGTCCTGTGGAGACAACATGGTCTCTCCTGACCACATTTTTACAGAAATGTAAAAAATACAGATGCTTTAGATTTTAGTTACTATAATATTAAAGTCAACTACTATTCTGATTAGAATCAGAGAGAAAACGCACAATAAAATGTGTTTCTAAAAAAAAATTTGCTATGGTTCAGAAGAGAAGAGGGAAAATGTGTATGAGATGGAATGAAGTTGACCCCTGAAATAAAAACCAAAGTGCTGGACTTCCCTGGTGGCACAGTGGTTAAGAATCCACCTGCCAATGCAGAGACACTGGTTCGAGCCCTGGTCCGGGAAGATCCCACATGCCACGGAGCAACTAAGCCCGTGCGCCACAACTGCTGAGCCTGTGCTCTAGAGCCCGCGAGCCACAACTACTGGGCCCGCATGCCACAACTACTGAAGCCTGCGCACCTAGAGCCCGTGCTCCGCAGCAAGAGAAGCCACCGCAATGAGAAGCCTGCGCACCACAACAAAAAGTAGCCCCTGCTCGCCGTAACTAGAGAAAGCCTGCACACAGCAACAAAGACCCAACGCAGCCAAAAATTAATTAATTAATTAATTAAAAAGCAACAACAATAACAACCAAAGTGCTGTATTCAGGTTAAAAACAACCACTTTCACTTGAAGTAAGAAAACCTGCAAACCTGAAGATGGTGCTGGTTATTCTTGAAGACATTGTAGATGACCGCAGTGTGAGCACTGGCATACAGAAGAACTCTCTGGTTTTCATCTTGAATGTAGTAAACAGGAAGGGAACTGTTCCATCCGAATGACCAGGTCATGGCCTGGAAGACAAAGGTAAAACCGGGAAGACACTACGGTGCACGAACCCAGAGCTGTGACACCGGGTACTCCCTGCCTGAGTCCTGGAGGAGAAGGATTCACATCACCAGCCAATGAAGAGACATCACCTTGAGAAGTCCTCAAGAGCACGCTACACCATGGATGACGCCTGAAAACGTGATGCTACGTGAAAGGAGCCAGATGCAAAGGACCACATACTGTGTGACCCCATCCACATAAAACGTCCAGAACAGGCAGATCCCTAGAGACAGAAAGCAGATGAGTGGTTGCCAGGGGGTGAGGGGAGCGGGAATGGGGAGTGACCGCTTACTGCGTATGGGTTTCTTTCTGGGGCGACGGAAACGTTCTGAGAACAGGCTACAAACCAATCAACTGTATACTGGAAAAGGGAAATTTTCAGACATAGAAAACAAACTTATGGTTACAAAAGGGGGAAGGGGGGTGGGAGGGATAAATTAGGAGTTGGGGATTAACAGATACACACTACTATGTATAAAATAGGTAACCAACAAGGACCTACTGTATAGCACAGATACTCAATATCTTGTAATAACCTATAAGGGAAAAGAATCTGAAAAAGAATATATATATATACGTATACATATGAATCACTTTGCTGTACCCCTGAAACTAACACAACATTGTAAATCAACTATATTTCAACAAAAATAAATTTTAAAAACTCTTTTTAATTTTAAAGGGTAAACTTTACAAGGATGTGGAGAAACTGGGACCCTTGTGCGTTACTGGTGGGAGTGTGAAATGGTGCAGCTGCTGTGGAAAACAGTATGGAGGTTCCTCAAAAAACTGAAAATACAATTACCATATACTCCAGCAATTACACTTCTGGGTATCTACCCCAAAGAACAGGAAACAGGGTCTCAAAGAGATATGTGTACACCCGTGTCCATAGCAGCATATTTCACAGTAACCAAAAGGTGGAAAAGAAGCCAGTGTCCATCAACAGATGAATGGATAAACAAAAGGTGAGTATTATTCAGCCTCCAAATGGATGGAGATTCTGACACATGCTCCGACATGGACGGACCTTGAGGATATTATATAAGTAAAATACACCAGTCACAAAAAGACAAATACGAACTGAATGGTTCCACTTATATGAGGTCCCTAGAGTAGTCAAATTCATAGAGACAGAAAGTAGAAGGGCAGTTAGCCAGGGACCGGGGTGGGGTTGGGGAGCTGGTGTTTGTGGGTACAGTGTGTGTTTCACAAGATGAAGAGGGTTATGGGGATGGGTGATGATGGTGGCTACACAACCATGTGAATGTGTTTAATACCATTGAGCTTTTACACATAAAAATGGTTAAGGTAGTAAATTTTATGTTATGTGCCTTTTACCACAATCTTTTAAGAAAAAGTTAAGAGGATGGATTTTATGGATGGGAATTCTACCTCGATATAAAAAGAAAAGAAAAGCTACGTGGTGCTTACACAGGCGTGTTTACTGTGTAAGAATTCAATGAGTTCTACACTTGCGTGTGCGCTTTCTGTTTATACGTTATATTTCAATAAAGACGTTTCCTTTAAAAGAAGAAAGTCTTCAACAGTAAATAGAAACAACTTCCTATTCATCTTCTCCCCAGGACCTAGACCCAGCTCAGTACCAGACACACAGTGAGCACTTAATGTCGTGAAATTCAATTTACTGAATGAGAGTACGTAGAATGGACAAGTTATAATAAAGTCACTAAGTAACTTCATAAGAAAGGCAATTATTCAGCCTGGGTATTTGTTCCTTATACACGATTTTCCCTGGAAGGATAAAGTATAAAAGAGACAAAATTCCCTCAGGAGGATTAAAAATTCCACACTGCCAGGAACAAGTCCAAAATAAAAATTTCATGAAATGAAAAATAATAGGTACTATCCAACTACTGCTTCCAATTCAATAGCAGTTTGTTTATGTATATTTTTGTATTCAACGTCTCTTACAAAAATTACGGATAAACTGTGGTACGTTCATACAATGGAATATTATTCAGCAATAAAAAGAAATGAGCTTGCAAGCCATGAAAAGATGTGGAGGAACCTTAAATGCATGTTGCTAAGTGAAAGAAGCCAGCCTGAAAAGGCCACAAACTTATGATTCCAACTACATGACACTGTGGAAAAGGCAAAACTATGGAGACAATAAAAATCAATGGTTGTCAGGGGCTTGTGGGGGGGGGATAAGGGGGAGGGAGAGATGAACAGGTAGGGCACAGGACATTTTTAGGGCAGTGAAACTACTCTGTATCAAACAACAATGGTAGATACATGTCATTATGCATTTGTCAAAGACCAGAGAAGGTACATCACAGAGTGAACCCTAAGGTAAACTATGGACTTCAGGTAATTCTAATTCATCCATATTGGCTCATCAATTGCGACAAATGTACTGCACTAATGCAAGATGGTAATAATAGAGGAGACGAGGGGGGAAGGAGGCACAAGGGAGTATGTGGGAATTCTGTGTTTTTCATTCCATTTTTCTATAAACCTAAAACTGCCCCCAAATAATAAAGTCTATTTAAAAAATTAACCAAGGCTGATGTGGTAGAGTATTTAAAGTGATGGCTAAGTGATTAGTTACCAAAAATCAGTGGGTTATATTGGAGCATAGAAATGAAATCTGGTGATGGGGATTTCCCTGGCGGTCCAATGGTTAAGACTCCGAGCTGCCACTGCAGGGGGCGCGGGTTCCATCCCTGGTCGGGGAACTAAGATCCTGCGTGCCTCACGGCCGAAAGAAAAAAAAAATAAATGAAATCTGGTGAGTTTCCTTTCTGATCTTTGAATGATACTTAAGGTTAAATTGATGTACCGTGTATTTCTCCCAAGACAGAGTGGGCAACGTGGCCGATTTCTCTCTCCTACACCCTTCATTCCCCATTCTCTCCTGATTCCATCTGCTCATTCGCTGTAATTTATATTTATATTTAGGTCTTTTATTGTGTGGGTGTGAGTGGTAGAATCACGGAATCATAATTGCCTCAAGCTGCAACTTCTAGGAACGGAACTATTTCATATCTGGCTGGTTCTTAAGAGCCAATTTCTTCAAGTGAGATGGTTCTTCTGGAAACCTGTTAATTCTAAAAGGCCTTATAGTCGTCCTAGAAATTTGTTTTGAGATTTAACAGATTAGTTATAAAAAGAAAACACTCTTAACTAGACTCCTGTCTCCAGGTAAACCTCTTTCAAGGTCAAAACTAGGCTGATCTCACTCAGTAGTAACAGAACTTCCTTGCTTGAGCAGCCCTCACGTTAACCGAACTCACACAGTACTAACGCTCATCGCATTTTGCACTAGTTTTAACACTCATGGCGAATGATGATGGAGACAGCCACCTCTTACATCAATCTTCTTCTAAAACATGGTCATCTGGAAAACAAAACTTTATTGTCAAAATCAGATTTCACTGTATTTGATAGTTATATGATTCCTTCTCATAAACACATGATACCTTGTTACTTGGCTGGAGATGGTATTCATGGTTAGGTCTATTTACCATGAGCACTGCGAGTTATTACAGGCCTTTGGGATAAGCTGGGGGAGCCCAAAGGAAAAGGAGGATGCTGCGAGCACAGAGATGGAGAGGCACACACTTACTGAAGCACCTTTGGTGAGAGCAAGAAATTAGAAACAGCATAAATGGCCATCAATAAGGAAACAGCCGAATCTAAAATGAGGAAGTGGACATACATGCACTGATACCAAAAATCCCCTGAGACATGTTAAGTGCAAAAACGTTCATGCAGAAATGCAGAACATCTCACTGCAAAAACCAACAACTAAAAACACAGATCGTGTGCGTGTGTGCACACAGATACGTGTTTATATATGTACCAACAAAGGTCTGGAGAGATAGTTATACCAAACTGCAACAGTAGTCACCTCAGGAAAATGGGATTGGGATGGGAGTGTGTTCGAGAAGAGGAATCTTTGCCTTTGTATATTTTTTTTATAAAGAGCACTGATTCATTTTAACAAAAAGAAGAAACAATAAAGGCGAAAGGAAAGGAAAAAGAAAGATGGCACACCCAAAGAGCTAAGCAAACCTGCAAAGAGAGAAGGCCTAGGAAAATTTGGTTCTGCGGTGAGTCCAAGGCTAACAGGGGGCCCAGACCTGTGTAGTGGCTTTTGTCAAGTCCAGGTAGCTGGGGCCTGGATAAAAAGATCGCTTGCTCTAATTAGTGACGTTACTTGATTTCTGGTTAGTTGGCTAAACAAGACAAATGTCTTCATGGGCTCTAAAGCTCAATTATTCTTGGGACTTCCGTGGCAGTCCAGTGATTAGGACTCTGAGCTTCCACTGCAGAGGGCAAGGGTTCAATTTCTGATTGGGGAACTAAGATCCAACATGCCGCTCAGTGTGGCCAAATAAATAAATAAACTCAATTATTCTTTCTTTCAGACTGAGCAATTGCAAGCTTGAACCTTTAACTCCATTGCTCAAAGTCAGCCAAATCTACAGAAAGGAGGCTGTCAGTTCTCTGCACTTCCCCCTCGGCATCCTTCCGTCACCACCACCAGCACAACCGTCACCACCATCACCTAGTTGTTAACACTTGTCAAGTGCTCACTCTGTGTTAGGAACTGCATTAAGTACACAGTCCATCACTTACAAATCTTCCAAAGGCATGAATCTACAGTGGGGGGAGAAAAAAAGATGAATCCTAGGAAACAATTTTCAGAAAGTAGCAGATGGAGGAAGAAAGAAGGAGAAGGGGAAAAAAAAAAACCTCCTCTTCCTTCTCTTGGCAAATGATAATATTTTTACCCTCGCAGATGGCGCCTCCCTGGAACACTGTCAGCGGCAGCAAAGGCAGACTCCTTTGGACCGCCTGGTGCTTTTCCCGGTGGCTTTCACTTTTTCCAGACCTTTGACTTACTGATCTATCTTGGGATGGATAGTTTTAGGAACCTGTGGTGGTTTTAGGAGCTGGTAAAGGGATCAAGCCAGTTACAGCAGAAGAGGCGAGGAGAGGAGGGAAAGGCAAGGAATTGGTGGTACGGAGGAGGAGTATCATGATGTGGGAGAGAGAGAGGGAAAGGGAGGGAGAGAGACAGACGGAGCGAGAAGAGAGGGGAAAGGGGAGAGGTCGATTCTGAGTCTCCCCCAAGAAAACAGCGTCCTATACAACGGACAAACCACGTGTGGAATTTCCTGCCTGCAGAGCAACGCTGCTGAACCCAGATGCAGCGTTCCTGTCCACATACTGTCACACATGTCCAGCCACAGCTCCAAACTGAACTTTACAAAGACACAGGTCTGTGATTAGCTTAAAAAGGAGCTTTCTGGTGGTATTTTTTTCCATATGCATAAAATTCCCCTATTTCACAATACTCTCAAAACACTGGGGGAAATTTAAAAGCATGTTGCACTTACCAAGGGATACACGTTGGCACCGTCATCCTTTTGGAACAAAATGTCCTCGGTGGCAGTGGAGACCAGTGACACCTTAGGGATGCTTGCTTTGGGCTGGAATTCTTTTTCTTTTTTCTCATTTACGTATAATACTCTTTTTTCTTTTCTCCCTTCTCTCTTTTCTGGCTCCAAGTCTCCCCTTTCTGGTTCCAAGTGTCTCCTTTCTTGTCCCAATTCATCTTGGGGCCTCTGGTCAGTTCTCTCTGCAAGCTCGCCCGAAGGCTGCTTTTCAGGGGAACTAAGCTGTTGTTCCGCAGAAGTGGTTAGATCCAAATCAAGAAACTCTAATTGTGAGGCCATGCTTCTTGGAAGTTCGAGTGTTTCCAAAAGCTCTGATTGTAATGAATGCTTTGACTCTCTACCACTATAGGTTTTCTTAAAAAAGAAATAGAAAGGAGATTGTGATTCCAAATACAGTACACGCTGCTACATGCCCTCATTTAGTTTCCTTTCTCTTCCTAATCAGCCAGTCTTAGTGTTAGCCTCACGTCGGAATTATGAAGCACTTTTTAAAAAGAGCCTGGGACATTCTGTACTCAAAGAATCGTGGGTGTGTCAGGTTTATCCTTGGCCTACTAGCAGACCCATAACAGCAAAATTATTCTTCTAAGTGGCACTGGTGGCCTCCAAAACCACCACAGAGCCACAGAGAGTCACTTCTCCTTGGACCAGAGGTGATTTCTACAGGCTGTTTAGACAAGCACACTCCAGCTAAGCCCTGTCCTTTAAGTCAGCCCTGGTACACACCTCCTCCAGGAAGCTTTCCCTGATCATCCTCCAAGCTGGGTCAAGTCGGCCTTTATATAGATACATATCTCCTAGGTACCTCTCAATCACTGCACTTAGTTTTATAATGTTTGCCTCCCTACATACTCTAGAGCTCCTTAAGAGAATGGATTGTGTCTTACTTGGTTTTATATCCGCAGAGCCTGGCAGGTAAGTGGGTAACAAGCATTCAATTAATGATTAGGAATGAATGAATGAACAAATGATTGAATGAATGAAAATTCCTACTTACTGGGAGTGTTCCTGACAAGACTGATTGGGAATCAGTCGGTGTAAGTCTCTCCAAACTGATCATGGACTTGGTGATTTCTTGGGGCTTCACTGTGGTTTCTTCCTGTGCTCCTGCTGCCTCCTCCTTCCCAAATTCTTCCCCCTCTTCCTTCCCCTCCGCTTCCTCCCCCTCCACTTCCCCCTCCTCCTGAGACCCTCTCCACGCTAATGTGTTATCTTCTTTTAATTCCTGTTGCATATTTTCTAGCCCTTCATCATTTGGATATTTTTCTTCTTCTTCTCCTTCTTCCATTTCTATTTCTCCATATTCTTCTGTTTCTTCCAGTGGGTTTTCCTCTGCATCTGACATTCTTCTCTTTGGAGATGTCTCTAGAGAAATTTTGAGCATAAAAGTCAGCAGGGCCCTCTGTTTTCCATTTTGATTTCCTGGTCCACAAACCCATCAATGAAATGTGCAATACCAGCTCTGTTCCTTTCCATGGGAATAAAAAGAATGCCATACTCCTGGGAAAGCCTGTCTCAAATCTTTAAAAATATTGATCCCGGGCCTCATCTTTCTGAGGATAATTTTAGAGCCCTCTAACTCAGTGTATATATATATTCATATTCCCACAGGCAGCAAAATGATAACCCAGGCATTAGCAACAGTTCTAATAATATGAATAGGGGAAGAAGCAGGTACCTTAGCGGTTAAAAGTGTTGGCTTTCCAGTCAGCCTCTCCTGGCATTGAATCCCAGTTCCACCACTCAGGTGCTCTGTGACCTTGGGCAAGTCACTTTACCCCTCGGAGTCTAAATCTGCTCACAGGCAAAATTAAAATGATAACCCTAAATTCTGGGGGTGTTGTGAAGATTAGATGAAATGACGCATGTAAAATGCTCCAGTTGCAGCACAGACTGCTTGAGAAATGGTAGCAGTCTAGAAACTTAAAAAGCCTAACATGTTCTCTCGTTTATTTCTTACAGCAAACTTAAGAGTCTGAAGCTCTGAGAGGTGAAGTGACTTATTCAAGATCATACAGCGAGTAAGCAGCAGACCTCTCAATGTTCAGTTCCGCCATCTGAAAAATTGCTAAGATTTCAACTCTAGGGCCCTTAGTACAGAGCCTCTTCCGACTGCCAAACTTTGCCAAATTCCTCATGGGGGGTGCGGGGAGCAGGCGTGTGCGTCTGTGGGGGCACAAAGCCCAGGCGTGGCCCCTTCCTCCAGCTCAGGTCTGCCTGGAGCTGCCCCAGGCCGAGCCCAGGTGGGGTGAGCGCCCCCCCAAGAGGCACCAGGCCCCTCCTTGCCGGGGCCCCCGCCCCTGACTCACAGAGCGCGCCCACCCTGGTCCTCAAAGGCCGGGGTCTTCCCGCCGCGTGAACCCCTCGTCCACCTCCCGGCCTCCAGCTGCCGCCGCTTTCTCCTCCAAGGGCTCCCTAGTTACGGTCGCCACCCAAGCCCCGTCTCCATGGTAATCGCTGCCGCCTGCAGGCGACGGGCCGTAAAGCAAGAAGGCTGGACAGCGGTCACGTGCCCAGAAAGCAGCGGGAGCGGGAGCGGGGAGCTGGTCGAGCTCGCCCCCTGCCGCCGCGACTTGGGAGGTGAAATTGGCTTTCCTCTCACCTCTCTCCTCCCCTCCCACTCTCCCCCATGTTTTCCCTTGGTGCCATCCCATGAGAAGCTGCAGCGGCCAATCCTAGCAACTCTTGACTTTCTGAAGACTTGACAAAGTTATGTGAAGAAGTACGAACGGTTTGATAAAATTCTCTTTGTCAAAAGCAAACTAAATTTCCCGGTCTCATTGGTGCAGCACACAGCTGTCCTCCCCACCTCCTCGCCCGGGCACTAGATGTTGTACAGAAAACTTTAGCCAGCTGGGATTAAATGTTTCATAGGTTACGTTATCTTATCACATAACGTTTCTGCCAAACCAGTTTGTTAAATCTATTAGGATGATTCCACCTCCAAGTGTCTCTCCACTAGAACCTCACAAAAGGCAGCCCACCTGCGTGGCCATCCTGAGGTTTCTGAAGCGGGGTGGGCTTGCAGGAAACCAGCCAAAGGCACTGATGCAGAAGACTCTCTGCTGCTATCATTTTAGGAGGATGTGAATGAGTCTCTCCATCCCCACCCCACCCTCATACCCCAATGCTGGTTGCTGCATTTGCATACATCTCAAAAAAAATAAAAGGGATTGCTGGATGGGGCAAGCTGTGTTTATTATAGTCTAGGGCTTATAAAAGATTGGAAAACACGTGGAATTAGAAAAACAATTTAAACACTGGTAAACACAGCACGACTGTGGCTACAAGGGGGGAAATCCACGTGGACATTCAGCTAGAGTACATGGTGTTTGGGGGCAGACACTCAACAGGAAGGCTTTCCAGCCGAGCACGAGCACCCATGGCTGGCCCACCCAGTACTGACTCCCGTCAGGGCGAGCTGATATCTGTATCTAAGCCAAGCAAATCCAGGCCTGAGGAACCCAAGCATGCCTCAGTAGAATGTGCCAGATGCCCTCTGAAACAGAAAGTGGTCTGCAAGAACTGTGGAAATAAAACACTGTGATATGGTGAAGAGAGAAAAAAAGTAAAGCACGGAGGCACTAGGAATCACTGAAACTCACTTTGCCATGTTAAAGAGAGAAAATAAAAGGAAGGAAGGAAGGAGGAATCAGCATTTGCAAGACAGCTCTGCACACACTGCTGGTTCCCATCAGCAATGTCAACACACCTCAGCAGTCTACAAAAGTGCTGATCCGAGGGCAGGCCCAGGAGACTCAATTATCCTGTATCCAGAGCAGCAATGCCGCAGTGCAAACGCAGGTGCAGCCTGAGCGTCTGGAACCCCCATTCACTAAAGGATGACATCCCAGAGATGTTGCTGGTCAAATCTTGACTTCGGTACAATTGTTAGTTTGTTCTGCCCAACTTTCATGAGGCTGATCTAACTCCCACCTGAGCTTTGGTTTGAGAAGTTCACAGGAAATTCAGCTGGGGTGATAACATGTTCATATCAACACTGTAAAACTGTTTATTTGGGGGAAAAAAACAAAATTTCTAGAAGCATAAAGTCACATCAGCACCTACCAGAATAACTCCCGCCCACCTGCTCACAATCCAGAGGATTCCCATGTAGGGCCGTGGCCTAATTTGCAAAAGATGCTAAACACAAATCTAGTTTTTAACAATGCGTTAATCCCAAGAGATCACACTGGGAGGCCACAGCGTTTCCACCACCTAGAAGTTCAGGCTCCCAGCCTCTTCCAGATCCTTGAGCTTCAGGAAGAGAAGAGAAGGAGGAAATGCCCACTAGACCCAAGTCTGGGGCAAGGGAATATGCTTTCCTGTTTCTGTTCCCCAGGGACAATCATCTTTGCAAAGGAATAATGTTGCAGCTGGAAGGAAAAAAAAGGAACAGTGTAAGTTTGTGGCTCCATTCAGGAAGATCAGAAGTGAGCCGTCCTGAGCTTTTCACCTACATGCTTTCATTCTTTCAAAGCAAACGTCCAGTTAATAAAAGAACCAGAGCGACCAGGGCTCCCTCCACCTCCATACCTGGAATCTCATTCCCGCCACAAGGATTTATCATGAGTTGCCACAGGCAGTCTGGAAATTCATTTCCCAACGACCCCACCTCCCGCCCGCAGCTTTGTGTCTAGCAAGCATGCAGTGCACGCTGCAGTGTGAATGAACGGACACGGATACTTTACCCCAGCAGTCCTTTTCCCGCCCAGCGTGTCGGCACGAGTCTAAGTTGGTATTTCTCCCCTCTGCGGATCACTGTCACATTCAGGGGCTTCTGAAAGGAAAATGAGCTCATTTCATGTTCAACCTCCTTAGTAACTCAAAGAGATTCAGGCTAGAGTGCTGAGATACTGCCCTTTTTTTTTTTTTTTTTTGGCCACACAGCATGTGGGATCTTAGTTGCCCCACCAGGGATCAAAACCACACCCCCTGCAGTGCAGGCGTGGAGTCTCTTAACCACTGGACCTCCAGGGAAGTCCCACCCACCAGACTAGTAGTAAGGATGCTTATTTTAGGCATTATTCCTACAACTGGTGAGAATGTGGAGGACGTGGCACTCTGGGGGCAGGCAGTGGGGCTACAGATTTGGTACCCTCTTCCTGGAAGAACACAATTGCCCCCAGCAACAACAAAGCATCTTTAAAAGGTGCATATAAGATATATTCTGCAAAAGTACAAGATGATATATGAACAAAGCATTTATCCCAGGACTGTTTATAAATTTCAAAAACTGAAAACACCCAAAATATCCCTCAATAAGGTATTGGTCAAATACAGTATAGTGAATAGCAGTTTGTTTAGTAAAAACAAAACAAAACCAGCCAAGTATGAATCCATTTGAATATATGTCCTAAAAGGTCATATGTGTTGTAAATCAAGTATACTTCAATTTAAAAATAATAATTTAAAAATAAATAATAAAAATAATAATAAAAGCTCTAAAAATTCAATAAATAAATAAATAGACATAGGACTTCCCTGGTGGCGCAGTGGTTAAGAATTCTCCTGCCAATGCAGGGGACATGGGTTCGAGCCCTCGTCCGGGAACATCCCACATGCCGCGGAGCTACTGAGCCTGCGTGCTAAAACTACTGAAGCCCGCACACCTAGAGCCCATGCTCTGCAACAAGAGAAGCCAACGCAATGGGAAGCCCGTGCACCGCAACAAAGAGTAGCCCCCATTCGCCGCAACTAGAGGAAGCCGGCGCGAAGCAACAAAGACCCAACGCAGCCAAAAATAATATTAATTAATTAATCTAAATAAATAAATAGACATATGTGTTGCTTGGTGCATACAAAGTTTTCTGGAAGATAAACTGTTAACAGTGGTTACTTCCAGAAAGAAGCACTAGCAGTTTGGAGTAAGAGAAGAAGACATTTACTTTTTTATCTTTCTGTACCATTATTTCTTCTTTACTATGCGTATGTATTACCTTAACAAAAAAACTAAAGTAGGTACAATATATACCAAAGAAAGTTACAAGTTAAAACAAGATTCATCAAATTTTAAAACTTCTGTACATCAAAGGACACTGTGAACATAGTGAAAAAGCAACCCACAGAATGGGAGAAAATAACTGCAAATCATACATCCGATAAGGGATCAATATCCAGAATATATACAGAATTCAACAGCAACAACAAACAACCCAATTAAAAACTGAGCAAAGAACGTAAACATTTCTCCAAAAAAGATATACAAATGGCCAATAAGCACACGAATAGATGGCCTACATCACTCATCATTAGAGAAATGCAAATTAAAACCACAATGAGATATCACCTTATACCCATTAGGATGGCTATTATCAAAAAAAACAAAGGGGGGCTTCCCTGGTGGCGCAGTGGTTGAGAGTCCGCCTGCCGATGCAGGGGACACAGGTTCGTGCCCCGGTCCGGGAAGATCCCACGTGCTGCGGAGCAGCTGGGCCCATGAGCCATGGCCGCTGAGCCTGCGCGGCCGGAGCCTGTACTCCGCAACGGGAGAGGCCACAGCAGTGAGAGGCCCACGTGCCGCAAAAAAAAAACAAAAAAAAAAAACAGAAAATAATAGGAGTCAGTGAGGATGTGGAGAAATCGTAACCCTTGTACACCGCTGGTGGGAGTGTAAAATGGTGCAGCCACTATGGAAAACAGCATGACTATTCCTTAAAAAACTGAAAATAGGGCTTCCCTGGTGGCGCAGTGGTTAAGAATCCGCCTGCCAATGCAGGGGACACGAGTTCGAGCCCTGGTCCAGGAAGATCCCACATGCCACAGAGCAACTAAGACCATGCGCCACAACTACTGAGCCTGCGCTCTAGAGCCCGCGAGCCACAACTACTGAAGCCCACGTGCCTAGAGCCCGCGCTCCGCAACAGGAGAAGCCACCGCAATGAGAAGGCCGCACGCTGCAATGAAGAGTAGCCCCCACTCGCTGCAACTAGAGAAAGCCTGCGCACAGCAACAAAGACCCACCACAGCCAAAATAAATAAATAAATAATTTTTTTAAGAAATTGAAAATAGAATAACCATATCAACCTGCAATTAAACATATGGGTATATAACCAAAGAACTGAAAGCAGGGACTTGAACAGATAATTTGTATACCCATTTCATAGTAGCATTATTCACCAAAATGGTGAATAGCATTATAGCCAAAAGGTAGAAGCAACCCAAGTGGCCATCAATGGATTACAGGATAAACAAAATGTAGTATATACACACAGCAGAATATTATTCAGCCCTTTTTTTTAATATAAATTTATTTATTTTTGGTTGCATTGGGTCTTCGTTGCTGCATGCGGGCTTTCTCCAGTTGTGGTGAGCGGGGGCTACTCCTTGTTGCAGTGTGCAGGCTTCTCATTGGGTTGGCTTCTCTTGTTGCGGAGCACGGGCTCTAGGTGTGCGGGCTTCAGTAGTTGTAGCACGCGGGCTCAGTAGCTCCGCGGCATGTGGGATCTTCCCGGACCAGGGCTCAAACCCATGTCCCCTGCATTGGCAGGCGGATGCCCAACCACTGCGCCACCAGGGAAGTCCCTATTATTCAGCCTTAAAAAGGAAATTCTGACACATGTAACAACCTGGATGGACCTTGAAGACGTTATGCTAAGTGAAACACATGAGTCACAAAAGGACAAATATAGTGTGATTCCACTTAGAGGGCTATATATAGAGCAGTCACATTCATAGAGACAGAAAGTAGATTAGTGGTTGCCAGAACCTTGGGGAGATGGGAATGACTAGTTAGTGTTTAATGGGTAGAGTTTCAGTTTGGGAAGATGAAAAAGTTCTAGGGACAGTGGTGGAGATGGCTGCCAAACAAATGTGAATGTACGTAACGCCATTTAAAATGGTAAATTCTATGTTACGTACATTTTACCGTAATTTTAAAAAATTAAGGCAGATCTATCAATGGGATCTCTGAATCAGAAAAAATAAAGCATGATGAAAAACAGAAAAAGACACCATTTTCCACCTCGACTGTCACAGGATAAAAGACTGACAATAACACAGTTGGGGAGGGGTCAAGAAATAAGCACTCACATACACTACTGGAGAGAACATGAACTAACGCAAGCTTCTGGGAGGACACCTTGACGACACCTATCAAATCGGTAAATGTGCATTGCCTTTAACCCAGTAATTCCACTTCTAGAAATCTGACAGAAACCCTCACACAAGATAAGAATATTCACGACACCACTATTTGTGGTGGCCAAATATTGGCAATGGCTTAAATGTCCAGGTTGGGGGGCTGGTTAAACAAACGATGAGAAACCAAGCCAGGGAATATGGTACATGTGTACCGATACACGTGTACCAACATGGAAATCCCTTCAAAGGGGGAAACATCGAGAACAGTACATAGAGTAGGTCTTCTTTGTGACTTCTTTTTCAAAAAGCAATCACTGTAGACATACACACCCACACCCAGAAAATGTGTGAGAGCTTCACTGACGTGCTTCCAGTTCTGGAAATGATGGCCCTGGGAGAGCTAGAAATCCAGAGGGTTTCTACCTATGGCACATCCTAAATGTCTTTCTGATTTGCCCACCTGCACCTCCAGCCCATTCGTCAAAGACACCATCATCTCCTGACCTGGCTGCTAAAACTCTGTCAGCCCTCCAGTCAGCTCTCTACCTGGCCTCCGGAGAAATCTTTTCAAGGCACGAAGCTGCTTGCAGCTGTTATTCTCCAGCTTGGAAGAAGCTCTCTACTGCTGCTCGGGAACAATGAAGAAGGGCCCTGCCTCCTCCCCTCTCCCCCTCTTCCTTGCTCTGGGTTCCAATCAGCCTTCTCTGATCCTCTCACCTCAGGGCCTTGACCCTGCTGGTGGGCTCCTCTCCCTGCCAGTCTTGATAAACTTCAATACACTTAGAGGCCATGTCTTCAGGAACACTCTCCTTCAACCCCAAACTACATGAGAACCCCACTATTTGCTCTCCTAGCCCCCTTGAACTGTCCCTTCATAGCACTCACTGGAGTGTACAATTACACATCTGTGATTATTTGATTAATGCTCATCTCCCCCACTAAAATGTTCCCACGGACCCTTGGTTGACCTGTTTTGTTCCCTGTTGTAGCGCCTGCACCTTGCCCAGGACTCAGAGCAGGGAAGGTACTACAAGGGAGGGAGAAATCCAGGACTTTTATTCTTACTTGAAATACGTTCGCATTGTGTGATTTTTTTTCACAATAAAAACACATTGTTTTTATTATTGAAATATAATTCATATACAATAAATTCACCATTTTAAAGTATATATTCAGAGACTTGTCCAACCATCACCACTAACAAATTTCAGAGCATATTTCCATCACCCAAAAAGAAACCCCATACCCATTAGCAATCACTCCCCATTCCCTCCTCCCCGAGCCCCTGGCAACCACCAATCTGCTTTCTGTCTCTGCTTTCTGTGCATTTGCCTATTCTGGACATTTCGGAATTCTAAAATATGTGGCCCTGTCTGGGACTTCCCTGGTGGCACAGTGGTTAAGAATCCGCCTGCCAATGCAGGGGACACGGGTTCAATCCCTGGTCAGTGAAGATCCCACATGCCGCGGAGCAACTAAGCCCGTGCGCCACAACTACTGAGCCTGCGCTCTAGACCCCGTGAGCCACAACTACTGAGCCCGCATGCCACACTACTGAAGCCCACACGTGCTCCACAACGAGAAGCCACCGCAACGAGTAGCCTGTGCACCACAGCGAAGAGTAGCCCCTGCTCGCCACAACTAGAGAAAGCCCGCGTGTAGCAATGAAGACCCAACGCAGCCAAAAATAAATAAAT